CTTAGGATGGATGTTAGTAATGTTGGGACAACAATGTGAATACACATAATGCAGCTGAGTTGTGCACTTATGAAAGTAATAACATGGTAAATTATGTTATATATGTTTTGCCATAACTAAGAGGAGGAACTTTAGGTTCTCAAAGTGCAGTCCTGCTGTGGCCCCATCTCCTAGGAGTTGTTAGAAATGTACATTTCTGGGGTTGGAGAGATAGTTCAGTGGTTAAGAGCACTGGCTGCTCTTGCAGAGGACCTGGGTTCAATTCCCAGCACCCACGTGGCAGCTAAAAACTGTCTGTAATTCCAGTTCCAGGGGATGGATGCCCTCTTCTGACCTCTGTGAGCACTGCATGCCAAGGATGCACTTACATTCATGCCAGCAATACACTCACATACAAAAAATAAGAATAATAAATTTTAAAAAAGAAATGCTCATTCTGATGTTCCGTGGTGGTCCATGCGTATAATCCTAGCACTGAGGAAGCAGAGGCAGATGATTAACTGTAAGTTCAAAGCCATCCTAAAAGTTAGTACCTGTATGATTTGTTTTAAGCAGGTATGCAGCTAACTCTGATAGACACTAAAGTTTGAGACTGTCAGCAGTAAATGCTTTTGTCTCAATCCTGTGGACTGTTGAAGACTCTGATAGGCCTTTCTCACATCCTTACAGTTACATGGCTACCTTTGTTGGAACACCTGACCATGTTAGGAGTAGAGTTGAAAAGTACTCTGAGAGTGTTTTGGAAAACAGTGGTACTTGTTCACATATCATGGAGGGGATAGTAGTTTGGTAAAATAAGAATCAAATGAAAAGTGTTTAAAAGGGAAAGGTGTTTATTCTGATTTCTGAAAAGCTCTGGTATATGGGATGTGCAAGAATATAAGCCCCAGGAAAGACCTAAGAAGTCTCAAAACTTGTGTGACACATTTAGGCGCTGTGCAAGCAGGAATCCTAGGCAAAGACAGTGTGGTAAACTGCCTGCATGAGCATAGAAGGCATGCTCCAGCAGCTGCTCAGAGCCCTTCAACAAAGGCTCACAGATTTACTAATTATTGACCAACCATAAAACTAAGCAGAGATTACTGTGGCCACATAGACGAATGCAAGGTAATACTATAAACAATTATATGCCAAAGATTACATAAGCTAGATGAAGTGGGCACATCTGAAAAAACAAAACTTACTGAAAATTAGTCAAAAATAAATTTTAAAAATCTGAACAAAACACTTCAAAGAAAATTATAACCTCACAAGCTCTTTAAAAAATAGCAGAGGACCTAGCACTTGGGAGGCAGGCAGTTGAATCTCTGTGAGGTCAAGGCCAGCCTGGTCTACATAGTGATTTCTAGGCTAACTGGGGCTCCAGGGAAAGCCTGTCTTTAAAAAAAAAAAAACAAAAAAAAAAACTAAAACAATAACAAAAAATAGCAGAGGAAGGCTAGAGAGATGGCTCAGCTGTTAAGTGCACTGGCTGCTCTTGCAGAGGACCTGTGTTTGATTCCCAGCACCCACATGGCGGCTAACAACTGTCCTAACTCCAGTTCCAGGGGATCTCACACCTCTGCAGACACTGCATGACACGGGTGCACTTAACATGCATGCACGCAATACATTCATACACGTAAAATTAAAAATAAAAATAGCAGAGGAAAGGGCCAGAGACACGACTCAATGTAAAGTACTTACCTTGCATGCAGGGCAAAAAAGCAAAGGAGAGGAGAGGCAAGAGACGGGGAGGGGGATAGAAAGAAAGAAAACCTCTTTCAAGCAGGGTGTGGTTGTTACACACCTGTCATCCTAACACTTGGGAGGCTGAGGCAGGAGGATTGAGCTTTTGAGGCCAACTTAGGCTACATAGTGAGATCCCATCTCAAAACTTAAAAAAAAATTAGAAGGGTCATTTCCCAGTTCATTTAATGAGGCCACTTTTCCTGATACCAAGGCAGACAAAGACATCACAAGGAAACCACAGTCTCATATCCCAGTCAGTGTGTCCCTAGGGTTAGGGGAAGGAGGAAACAGTGTTTTCTGGGCTGATGAAAAACACCCCCTCCCCCACTGCTCAAGTCTCAGAGAGGCTGTGAGACCCCAGAACTTGAGAAGGCCATCCTTTTATCCTCTAGCAAATTTGCTTTTTATCACAGAGGTGTGAGGGCCCACTCTGTTTCACAAAAGACAAGTTTTGATCTTTTCTGCCTTCCAGAGCATCAGAGAGTGCCAGGACCCAGCTCCGATTTATCACTGGTGCCTGCCTAGCTTTCCTTCCTTTGCTGCTGCTCTTCCTAGTGCTCCCTTTTCCCGATGACTTGGGACTAAGGCCTATCCTGGGTCTTCTGGCTCTCAGAAGCTTGTACTGCTGTTTGTACTAGTGTGCTGACTTCATACTTGGATGACTCCCCTTTTCTCTTGCTCTCATCAACAAAACTGCTTCTGGGTGTGTCTGCTTTTAATTCTGTTTAATCATTGATTAGTTAAATTATTCATGCTGAAAGTGAAAGTTTCTAACCAAAATGCATTTCTTAAAAGTATCCTTTTAAGAAGATAATGCATTTCCTAGATTTGTTCACCAAAAAGGCTTAGGAATGGTGACAAGCCATGAGTGTTCCATCAGGTCTCTAAAAGCATTCTTCAGAATCCCTTTGGAGGAATGTGAAATAAAATTAGGAGCAAGGAGCAGTCAAAATGGGTCTGGAACATCTTGTCAGAGAGTCAGGAAGCTGTCAGTGACTACTGAGCACATATTGAAAGGACTCGGGAGCTAACTTCAAAGGGTCCCTCCTAACCAACATGAGAACACTTGAAGGCTAAAAAGAATAACTGAAGTGGACTGGAGCATCGCACATGTTAAAATGCAGTTTTTATTCGTGTAAATGGCAAATAAAGACTAGGGAATCAATCCCACATTTCCTATAAAATTTGTACCCAAGGAAAACCAAATAATGTGAAAAAGAGTACCATCTTGAAATCCATGATGAAATGATAGAATAGGGAACAATTACCTTTGCTGCTAAAACTATTTAGATGAAAGGTTGATGAGGAAGTTTATAAGGGTCCCATGTAGTCCCAGCTGGCCTCTCCAACTCTTTATGTAGCAGAGTGACCTCAAACATCTGATCCTCCTGCCTCTGCTTGCCAAGTTCTCAATTACAGGCATGTGCCACTATGTCCAGCAACACATGACTCTGTGTAGTGCAATAAGAAGTATATATAGCCTGGGGCTGGAGAGATGGCTCAGCAGTTAAGAGCACTGGCTACTCTTGCAGAGGACCTGGGTTCAGTTCCCAGCACCCACATGGCAGCTAACAACTGTCCATAACTCCAGTTCTAGGGGATCCAGTGCCCTCTTCTGGCTTCTGTGGGCATTGCATGACATAGGCATGCTTACATACATGCAGGTAAAACACATGAATAAAATAAAAATAAGATTAAAAAAATTTTTTTAAAGAAATATATAACCACTAAAAACTCCCGACTTGAATCTTTCTAGGGATTTTTGTTGTTTGGTTGGTGTTTTAAGACAGGATCTCACTGTGTATTCCTTGCTAGCCTGGAATTTGCTATGTAGACCTGGCTGACCTCTGCCTCCTAGGTGCTAGAATTAAAGGTGTGCACAACCACACCTGGCAAGAAGCATCAACTCTATTCAATGAATGTATACATTTAGAATAAATAAACTATTTAAAAGATGAGCCTGTTTTGGGAAATTGAATATGATTTCATTGTAATTTGCTGGTATGCAGTAGCACTTATTTACGTGATATTTTCTATACAATTCTTGAAGTTATTTTGAGATGAAGTGCTTATGGAAGAACTAATACAATGCTTGGGATTTTTTTTTTTTTTTTTTTTTTTTTTTTTTTTGGTCTTTTTGAGACAGGGTCTCCCTGTAGCCCCAGCTGTCCTGGAACTCGGAGACCAGGCATGGTGGTGTATGCCTTTAGTCCCAGAACTTGGGAGACAGAGGCAGGTAGATCTCTGTAAGATAAAGGCCATCCTGGTCTACATAGTGAGTTTCAGGCCAGCTGGAGCTACAGGGAGATCCTGTCTCAAAAAAATAAATAAAATGAATGAATATAATAAAGTGGGGAGTAAAGGTTTGAGTGAGACAATAGATACTGACCAGATAAATGTTGAAGATAGGTAGGTGTTGAGTACATGGAGGCTTGTAATGTCATCTATATGTGCTTTGAATTTAATTTAAAAAAGAAGTTACATGCATCCTTATATAAATGTATAAACCTATATGTAAGTATGCATAGTGACTTGGTTTATCATTTTGGGGGTTTGAAATATTGACCTAAATAGCCAGGCACAACAATACATGATACTACCATGGTCATAATCATCATAACTAGATATATATGAAAAGTACTTACATAAACTCTACAGCCAATAATTATGCTGGAAATGTCTAATTTCTTAATCAGCAAAGCATTTATATTTTAAAATAGCACCAAGCATAGCACCTTAAATAGTATGTTTTATATCCTACATATATATCTTGCATGTTTTACATATAGTATATATTGTATTTTCTAAGTGAGCTAACTTCTACTTATTTTCTAAAACAGCTGAATTTTTGTTTGGTTTGCCTATTTTTTTTGAGACCCAGTAGCTCAGGCACACCTTGAACTCACTATGCAGCTCCAGGTGGCCTTAAATTCAAAATCCTTCTGCCTTAACCTCCCAAGTGCTGAGATTACAAGTGTACACCAACATTTCCAACTTTCATGAGCCAATTTGTATAAATGGAAACTTCCAGACATTACCCTCCTTGTGTGTGTGTGTGGGGGGGTATCCATGGTCTTGTTTTGTAGCCCTGGATGGCCTAGAATTCGTTGTATACCCCAGGTTGACCTCAAATTTGTGATTGTCCTCCTGTTTCTACCTCCTGAGTATTGGATTACATGTGTGCACAACTGCATCAAGCAACTTGCAGGCATTTCTCATGAGAAAACATGAAATTTTCTCTCCCTGAAATATTTTTCTCACTATTCCAGGAAATTGTTTTAGGTTATATGAAAGAAATGCTTCCTCGTCTCTAAGGTTTACCAGAAATTCTGATTTCAAGACAATGAATGGATTTTGCACCAAACCACAGGAAAGCCCCAAAACACCAACCCGTAAGTTTTTATTGCTCCATTTCTGCCATATGTAGCTCCCCTGCAGAGTAATTGAAATCAAAAGATCCTGAAGAGGTAGGCATAGGGTTCCTATGTCATGCTCAGTTTTCTGGCTTTGCCTCCCATATTGTATATGTACACATGCACAGTTATTTCTTTGTGTTGTGTACACGTTCATATGTGTGCATGTGGAGGTCAGAGATTGACATCACATGTCTTCCTCAGTAATTCGCCACTTTATTATTGTTTTGTTTCGTTTTTTGGCTTTTTTCAGACAGGGTCTCCCTGTAGCCTCAGAATGCCTGTGTGCTGAGACTAATGGCATGCTCCACCATGCCCAGCCTGACGCTTTCTATTTTGAGACAAGGGCTTTCCTTCAGTATGGAACTCCCCAGTTTGGGAAGACTGGCTGACTAGCAACCCAAGGGATCCTCCTGTCTCTGCTTCTCTAGTGCTGGGATTCTTAAGTGTGTACCTCCACACCTAGCTTTTTTTCAAGTAGGTAGTGGGGATTGAACTCATGTTCTCATGCTTGCCTGGCAAGCACTTGACTGACCAAGACAAGCCCAAGTACAACAATTTCTACATTTTCCTCTTTTGCCATTTTTCATCTCTTTCTTGCTAAGGCATATTAATGCACAAAAGTAAATAGTGATCTAGAAACTCTCTTTACCTCCAAGGATGAAGTCAGATCAAGAGGTTATGTTTTGGACAAAATATAATTAGGCTAAGCTATGACTTAGATACTAACTTCAGCCGTTTCTGGTTCAATGTCCCTAACTCAAACTCTCGTCACTTACCCCTTTGAGGAGGAGTGTAGCATACAAGCTAGGGTGTCCCAGCAGATCTCTTTTGCTTCTTCATGGAAATATACATAGACTATGCAGATCTCACTTGCTTAAAGGTTTAAAAATATTTATACACTTTGCCTAAGGAATAATCAAAATATATGAAAGAAGCTTGGCATATACAGATGGTTTATACACACACACACACACACACACACACACACAGAGTTAGGAATAACACGTGCTTTGTCTACTTGATATCAATCACACAGCCATTGGAAATGTTACTCATAAACACCATGCAGTAGTGTGGAAAATGTTATACATTAATGAACAAAGCAGGATATCAAATTTTATATTGTATGTAAGTACAAGCTAAAGCTGAGGAACATACCAGAATTAAAATATACTGGCCACCCTATGATAATAGAATTAAGGATTTTTAATATTTTATTTATTTTTATTTTATGTGTATGAGTGTATTGCCTGCATGTATGTGAGTGTACCCGTGTCGAGCAATGCTGTGGAGGTCAGAAGAAGGTTTCAGATTCCCCTGGAACTGGAGTTAAGGATGGTGTGTAGCCACCATATGGGTGCTGGGAACCTAACCCAGGTCCTCTGAAAGAGCAATCAGTGCTCTTAACCTCTGAGCCATCTCTCCAGCCCCAAAGGATGGTTTTAATATTAATTTTTGCTTTTTTCATATCTATACTTTCCTTTTGTTTTGGTTTTTGAAACAGTGTCTTGTGTAACCTAGCATGGCCTCCAGTTCACTAGCCTCAAACACAATCCTCCTGCCTTCTTTCCACCCCCAAGTGCTGGGATCACAGGCATGTGCCATTGTGCCCGGCTTCTAAATCTTGATTCTCAAGGGGTATATAGTATTTAACATTTTAGGAAAGAAGTATAAGGAAAAGTGTGCCAAGTGCTGGAGAGATGGAAAGGTGAGACTATAGCAGCCCCATGTCTGTACTTGTAGAGCTCTTGCTTTGGTGGTTCTTTTTATCTGATGGCTTTCCTGTTGTTCTTGCTGTTGTCTTCTGAGGTGAAAGCACAGGTGTGGTGATGGGCAGGAAGTGACATGTAGCTAGCAGTCAAAGGACGTGTATCATCTCACCTTTATATTAGAGCTCCCATGTGGACTCCTTACCTGCTGTCTTATCATCCTCCCTTCCCCTTTTCTATCCAGTGTGACTATTAAGATTAGTAACATCTTCTTTGCCTCAAAATATACCTCCCAAATCAATTCCAAATTCCCTAGCATGGTCTTCAAGGTCTTTTAATCTAATCTTAGCATGCAGTCTTTTCTTACTCTACTAGAGTCAAGCAAGCTCTTCTGTCCCTTCTTAGTTCATCTCACAGTCCTATCTTTTCTCATGGTGTTTTTTCACTTTCCAGTAGCTAGGGCTTATATTTTACCTCAGTCCTCATGGCATTGTGGACTGTCACTTGAAAAACAAGGCATCCTATGAAATCCCGTTCACATAAACATAAAGCTCTTGCTATGAAGTTTTTTAGTGTTTCTGTTAAATGAATAACTGAGAAGTACAAACAGCATTTTTTTTCCTGTTGCTGTATTTGAAAGTTATAATGTCAAGCAAGATTTCTCCTCTGGTTTCTCTCACAGACACTTACACCCATAGAGTGCCATTACACAAACCCACGGATATGGAGAAGAAGATGCTGATATGGGCAGGGCGCTTCAAAAAGGAAGAGGAAATTCCAGAGACCATCTCGTGAGTGCTGAACTAAGGGTTGTAAGCAGGCTTTATTTCTCACTGATCTGCTTTAAGGGAAACGCAGTGTACCTTTGAGTTTTGTTTAAAACTTTTCAACCAAACTTGGAAACATGTTTCATTCTCTAAGTGTTTTTCATCTTTGGCAAGTACCCAGAACAAAAACAGTGCTGGAAAACCTTTCTCCTCTTAGTTTGCTACCTAGTAATCAGTGTGTTGTGCCCAGTTCATGAGACCCCAAAGACCTCCAAGGAGCTGACCGATGCAAATACACAAGGGTTCTTTTATTGTTACAAGCTTAAGCTTGGGCCACTCTGTCACCGACTCAGCGGATCTCAGATGTGAGACCCCTTGCTTTGGGAGACAGAGGTTTTTATAGGTTTATTTCAGCAAGTTCAGCAAGTAGGGGAGTAGGGGGTCTTCAGCCTGGCAAGCATCTGATTGGTTGTAGCTCAGTGCCAAACCATAAACTGCTGACTTCAGGAACTCTGAAAAGATATCTGGACCGTTAGTACTTTCCTGTCCCTGGTTAATTGACCATTGGCGGGGAAGTTGTTCTCTATCTGTTCCAAGTTCCAAGTATTGTGGTTTTTCTTGGAACAGGGCCCAGGGCTGGGTCAGTCCTATGGAGGTTTTATCCAAGATGGAGTCACTCAGGTCTCTCAAGTGAACAGCTCTCATGAAGTCAGCTGGGTTTGGCTTCATCTGCTAGCTATTGAAATGAAAACAGTGATACTCTCTTTTTTAGTTTCTTTTTAAGCTGGTCATATCAATTAGGTATCAATTAGTGATAATAACTGTATTCTACAAAGTCAACTCAAGATTCAACCTTCAGTGTAAAGGTATTTCAGTGCTTTAGTTTGGATCTTAAATGTCCCCATAATGTCCATGTGTTAAAAGCCTTGATCCCAAGTGTGGTGCTTTTGGGAGGTGATGAGGCCCCATGGGAGCCTCAGGGGGCCCCAGTCTCCCCCTCTTCATCTCTTTTGCTTCCTGCCAAGGTAAACATCACTGTGCCCTCCCATGCTCCTGCTCAATACCAGTCCAAAGCAGTAGGACTAATTAATCTCGTACAGAAACCTAGAAAACGGAACCAAAAATAAACCTTTCCTCTTTAGGTTGTCTTAGGTATTTGTTGTAGCGATGGAAAGCCCAACTAGAAGCATTGTCTGCCCCATGCTAAAGACCCCAACTGTTGGGCATGTGAGCCACAGTGGGCATCCACTTGCTAGGAACTTCAGGCAAGTGTCCTGTCAGCAAACAGATCTTGGGCCTTCTAGCTCTAATTTCAAGTCATGATTGAAAAAGATCTGGGTTCATGTAGACATCCTTTGCAGACAGATGGACAATGTCTGCTTTAAACAGGATCCTCTTGCTCCTGCTAGTCAAATTAGATAGTACATTATTTTCATTAGAATTATTTCAGCAGGAAAGCCCCTTCTTAACTTGTAGTGTCCTCTTCTGAAAAATAAGACTATGCCAGAAATAACAGTGGCATCAAGTTTTTGCCTGTGCCCTGATTTCTCTTGACTATCCCAGCAAAAACAAGATTGTATATACCAGCATGAAGGGGCTGATTGGGGCTGTAGAGAGTTTGCTGTGGAACATCTTGTCTGCCTTCTCATTGATTCCAAGATCCTGGGCCCCGGCAATTGCTTATCCTTGTGTGCTAGTATATTTCTGAGTAGGTGATGCTTAATTTCCTTTTCTTTGGGTGGAGTGTGGATATGTGTGGCCTTTTTTATTGTCCTTCAGTTTTAGCAAAACTGATTAAAAGATTAAGAGACCATTTAAAGAATCATTTCACTGGTTCAGATAGTCTCAGATCTATTCTTGTTTTAAGACGGGGCAAAAAGCTGGATTATACAGAACATATTAGTTCTCTCCTGTTTACTTTCTTAATTGTGCTTCTTGTTAGAAGTTAAGTTCATAGTAAGGCTTTTGTGGGGGCTGAGGCTGAAGCATGAGTTCAAGGCCAGCCTGGACTATATAGCAAGAAAGACCCGTATCTCAAAAAAAAAGTTGTGAACTTGACCCATCCTCTCCAGGATGTTATTAGGTCCCCAGGTTCTAGCATCTTTTCTGTATTTATAGACATCACTGTGATACACAGAGCTTTTTATCCTGCTGTAAGTTCAGAAAAAGGTTAATAATGTTTTCTCATTGCATTAATAGGTTTGAGATGCTTGATGCTGCAAAGAACAAGCTCCGGGTAAAGATCAGCTACATAATGATTGCCCTGACAGTGGCAGGATGCATCTATATGGTGATGGAGGGCAAGAAGGTGAGTGTCGAGCCCCCTCTGCCTCTGCATGCTTTCTACAAAGAATATGGAGGAAGGCAGTGATTGGCTTTACGTTACTCTCTAAGAAGAGGAAGCTGCACTCTACGATTCATTAATTGAATACTTAATGCATTCCAGATACTTTGTGAGCTATTAGCTCACTTGAACCTTACAACAGTACTGTTAAACAGGTACTACTATTAGTTGAGGCAGCTGTGAGATGCTCAGCAGGTAGATGTGCTTTTGTACAGGCCTCACAATCTGAGTTTGATCCCTGGATCTCACACGGTGGCAGGAGAGAATCGGCTCCTGAGACTTGTCGTCTGACCCCTGTATGCTCTCCGTGGCATGTGTGCACCCGCAACCACACACATAGGCACACATAACAAAATAAATAATAGATTGAAAAAAAAAATTCTTTTAAGTTTTAGTAGTTTTCCCAAGGCCACACATCTCCCTAATGCCAAGGGAATAATTTGGACCTAGACTAACTAAAATTGCTCCCAGTTACTGGGTTTACTATGTAGCAGCAGCCGTTCTACTCATTTACCCACCGTAGTAACCCTAAGAACCTGAGGGATAGGTTTTCTTATTACCATGTTTTATAAAGAAGAAACTTGAAGCTAACTCACATAGCTAGTAAGTGGAGAGATAAAAATTTAGATCCAATATTGAATGTTTCCAAATGTCATATTACACTATTTTGTTAAGATAATTTACTGTCAAGTGTGGTGGCACACGCCTTTAATCCCAACACTGGGGAAGCAGAGACAGGCAGATCTCTGTGAGATAGAGGCCAGCCTGGTCTACATACATAGTGAGTTCCAGGCCAGCCAGAGTTACAAGGGAGACCCTGTCTCAAAAAAACCAAAACAAAAAGAGCAAGATTTATTTACTTTGGGAGCATGAGAGATGGCTCAGTGGTTAAGAGCGCTTGCTGCAATTGCAGAGGACCTGGGTTCAGTTCTCAGCACCTACATGGCACTTGACAACTGCTTGTAACTTCAGTTCCAGGGGATCTGATGCCCTCTTCTGGCCTCTGCAGGCACCAGGCATGTACATAGTGCACTATGCACTGAACATAGTGCACTGTGCACTGACATACATAACATACATATATGGCAAAGCAATCATACACATAAAAAATAAATAAAATCAGGACTGGAGAGATGGCTCAGCACTGGCTGCTCTTGCAGAGGATCTGGGTTCAGTTCCCAGCACCCACATGGAGGCTCACAAAGTGTAAGGGAAGGAGAGAGGCTAAGGATGTGGAGAAAGGAGAGGCGTGTCCTGGTCTCTTGCTCAGATAGGCTGCTGGACTTCGGAGCAACAGAGGCAGTCAAAGGTGCCTGAAGGACATTGCTGGGCCGTGTTTAGGCAGGGGACCACTTCACACACCTGTATTGCCAGAGTTAACCTGCTGTCTTCAATTTTGTTTCATTTTAGGCTGTGAAAAGACATGAGTCTTTAACAAGCTTGAACTTGGAAAAGAAAGCTCGTCTGAGAGAGGAAGCCGCTATGAAGGCCAAGACTGAGTAGAAGTGTCTGGAAATGCAGGAATGATGTGCACCTGCATAAAAAGGGTGTGATAAGAGATTTGCTTCATAAATACATGTTTTGCACAAATTTATGCCATTTCCCTATTTCTGCTGTAGAGGAACAAATAAATTTTCTTAAAGAATGACTGACTGGTTGATGTTTTATGGCTTTGATCAAGTAAAATGTAGCCTTCCCAGCTTTTTGGAGAAAGTGCAAAGTAAAGCAACTAATTTTCAACTTTAATATATTAACTCTTCTTTAGAGAATCAACTACCCTATCTTTTATTCACATACCAAAGTTGATCTTCAAAGGCCAAGAGTTTCTAGGTTTCTCTTCTGGGTACTATTTCTGGAGATGATGACCAACTGTGTACACTGCCCAAGTGCATCTTGGAAGCCAGCCTTTGGGGAGGCTGGCTCCTGAGAGCCCTGAAAACAGCCAGACCACACACTATCATCCAGCATGCCAGAAGACAGGCTTTTAGGAGGTTCTGAGAAGGTCCGGGCAAGATCTTGAGAGTAGTCTGGCCCTGAGTTTATGAGAAGTTAATCATGGAGTTGCTAGGGGCCAGCTGTCACTGCCCAGTTCCATGGGCTGGTTTTCATTCCCTTTCTTACTGCCAGGGGAACGAAATCTCTCACTTAGGAAAGTGTCATCCTAAATGAGACTTGTTAGTGTTGAAGGTAAGCATTTACACCCAGTATGCACTTCACTTACAGTTTCATCTTTGTGGTATCAGGTGGGCATGCTGGTTTCTGTTACAAACATTTCACTTATTTGCACATGCCTTGCTAGAATTCACAGATGACAGGTCACTATAGCCATCTCAACACACTAGTTCTCAGAATTGAGATGTTAAAAAGCAGTATGGACAATTCTTTGGGAAACAATAAAACATGCAGTAAAGTGGAACACACTACCTAGAACTTCATCTAGTGCTGGTAATGATGATGCCTGTCCATATTCTGTCATTTCACCGTAGCTTCTTTTTAGGTATCAAATACTATGATTTTTATCAATTGCAAATTTATTATCAAAAAAGCAGTGTTTCTTACGTAGTTTTAGAAAATTAGTTTATTTTGGTACATTCTCTTCCCCATGCCAATGTTTCATGTATGCATAGATTTCCAACATGGTACTTTTAAAAATAAGGACTGTTGCTTCATATACCAATGCCATTTTTAGTTGCTGAAGAACATTTTAAAGTGTGTATCTTGTAGATTGTAATAAAAATGTTTCGTTAAACTAGAGCTCATGATTAACATACACCAAGAATTCATGAAATCATTTTTCATTATGTCATTTTCTATCAATAATACAGTGGCTATTTATGGGTTAAATTTAAGTTTAATTTTAAAAATATTTGTGTATGTGTATATGGATGCACATGTGTTGTGGAGGTTAAAGACAACCTGAGGGAGTCAGTTCTCTCCACCATGTGCATCCCTAGTTCTCTCCACCATGTGCATCCCTAGGATGGAACTCAGGCCATCAAGCATGGCAGCAGGCACCTTTACCTGCTGAGCCATCTTGCCCACCCAAATTTAAGTTTCTTGGTCAAAATTTTGAACCCGTTTCTAGCTGATCCTACATCTTTCAGCATACTTAAGTAATATCTGAGCAGTCATACCCTAGTAGTAATTCTAATAACAACATTCCTCAGACAAAATTTTGCCTTTGTTTTCAGTTAAAATACTATAGCATCATTTCTTAATGCTTTTTGTTTGCATGTTTTTCAAGTCTTGATAGGTAAAGTGGGCAGAAACCATTTTCTACCATATATATTTTACCTTGTTTTTTTTTTTTTTTTTTTTTTTTTTTTTTTAAAATGTAGCCCCAGCTGGCCTGGAACTTGCTATGTAGACCAGGCTGGCCTTGAACGGGCTGGCCTTGAACTCGCAGAGATCCGCCTGCCTCTGCCTCTCGAGTGCTGGGATTAAAGGTGTGTGCCACCATGCCCGGCCACCTTGTATTTTCTAAAGCCCTATGTGTATACAGTTGATATAGGGGAGCATTAAACTTTTTTGTCAATATGATAGTTTGAAGAATTTTTAATTTTTATTACATTTTTAAAATGTGCATGGTGCTCTGTGGCACCCCGCATGCACACGCAGACATAAAATGATAATAAAAATGCTCTATTTTTAGAATGAACATGACCATGACTTAGGTTTTCCCATCTTGACAAATCTGATTCCTTTGACAATATCCCATGATGTAGGATAACACCCAAATATGCAGATAGCATGTAACATACACCTCCAGTCCTCTTGTTACCTCCCTAGGCCTCCCAAACCAGAAATCTTGAACTCTTGCTCCCCTCAGCCTGTCAGACACACTCATCTCACTGCAGCCCCCCAGAGGGAAAGAATGGGAACCTGTCCAGGGACAAACACCAACGCCAATCAGAAGTCAGAAGCCCCAGGTCCTCCTAAACAAGCTTTTCCAATGATTTCATTTTCAAAATTTGTAAGTCTCAAAATCTTACTATCAAAGGCAGTTCTAAAAGAAATACAAAACCATACCAAAATTCTGTTTTGTTTGGACTAACTTAGCTTCACTCAGTTGGCTTCCAAAGACTAGTAATCACACATCCACAGTTTAATTGTTTTGTCATTCTCTAAGGCTGCTGATGCGATGATGTTTTCTGTAGGGTGACAAGCTGCTGAGATCACAACATCCGTGTGACCCTGCAATTTCTGTACAATCTCTTTAGTCTGAATGTCCCAAATATAAACCATGTTATCCTCGGAGCCTGACACAATCCATTTTCCACCTGTAACTGAAAAATGGACAAATATGCAGTATTTCTCACTTTTATGACCAGTGTATGTCTTCAGGCATCTGCCTCTGCTATAGTCCCACAGTCGCAGAGTATTGTCCAGAGTTGCAGTGAGAATATATTTGCCATTTGGAGAAAACGTTACAAAAGACACAGGAGGGTTACCATCATTAATGAGTGTTTTTAAACACTGGCCTGATGCAGCGTCCCAGATCCTACACAGACCATCATAGCTACCTGATACTATCAAGGACCCATTACTGTTAAAATGTACGGCAGAAACTGGGTCAGAATGAGCCCACAAAGTCTTAAGGCACTTCCCTGTTTTCACCTCCCATATTTTCACACATTCGTCGAAAGATCCTGAAACGATGAGGTTGGATGGTGGGTTGAAACTACAGCAGAAGACGAAATTACTGTGCCCCTTCAGTGTTTTCAAGCACTTTCCAGATGTCACATCCCATATCTTCAGAGTTTTATCATCTGAGGCAGAAACGAGACGACTAGAATCTGAAGACCAAGCAACATCTGATATTTCCAGGCTGTGGCCATGGAGTGTTTTCTCGTATTTCCCATCATATGCCCCCCAAATTATAATGAGCTTATCAGCTGAAGAACTTGCTAGCCATTCTCCATTAGGACTAAATTTAACTGATGAAACTGCCTCCGTATGCCCCACAAGAGTGAATTTGAGCGCATAGTTCGGTTTTTGAGGCACTTTGCGCAGGTTGGCAGATGAGAGGTCCGTGTGCGCCTCTGTGTTTGCTGGATCCTTGTTTGCCATGGCTCTGAGGCTCCAAAACTATGGTTAGGTTGGGCGCCAGACCCCGAACCTCGCAGAAGGGAAAACGGGACATTCAAACGCACACGGCTCTGATGTTAACATGGGGCTGTCTTTAAGGTAAGGACTGAATCAGCAGCACGCTGTGGACCGTTTTTCCTTCCTTCTGTTAAATGCCCGAGAACCCGATCTCGAGTGCTGGGTACTCAGTTAAAGTAGGAAGCGCTCCAAATGCAGGCGAGGGAGGGGGTCTTCACGCAAAGCCCTGTCCCTCCCCTCCCCCGAAAGGCCTGGGGACCGTGAGCACCCTCACCAGACCACGCACTGAGGTTGACCCATCACCGCTTCCAACAGAAAACCGCTTCCGCCGCTCCGCAGCCACCGGAAACCGGGCCCAGGCCAAGCGCTCTCCGAGGCCCGCCCCGCCCAGCACGCCGGAGCCGTAGTGGCCAATGCGCCATGCCTGCGGGTGCCTGCGCAGAGGCCCGGTGCCGCCCTGCAGGCCCGGCCCGGGTTGGGCGGCCCCCGAGCGTAGCCGCTGGTGCGGGGAGGGGCGGCGGTGCTGACGTCCCTCAGCCGCCGGCCCATCTTTGGGGCGCAGGCTCGGTCCGCGTCGGTTGTGATGCTACAACCCATGTCGATTCCAAGACTACTGGCTTTAAAGACGCTCAGGAAAGATTCTAAATCTCAGTGCTATCCCAAGAGAAATCAGCAAACCTTTGGTTTTTAGCCCCTGTAATTAACGCTGAAGAAGTGTAAGAAGTGTTTATTACTGACTTTACCTTGCTACAAGATCACCATGAAACTACGCTGCAGCACTCTGGAAAACTTTACCCTGCTTTAGCGCACACCCACCCGCCTCCCGTTTTTTGAAATCGGGACCTAGAATTCCGGATCCTCAAAACTCCACTTCCCAAGTGCTGGGATTCCAGGTGTGCACTATGGGGGAACAGGGGGAGGAGCGTTCAGCCAGTTTCACTGTAGCCCAGGCTGGCCTGGAACTGAAGGCAATCCTCCTGCCTTGGTTTCCGGAGTACTGGAGTTAGTTCGCAACCACTTTACCGCCTGACTGCTGCATGACACGGGTCCTGGGATCCAAACTAGGCCCCTGGAAGAACAACTGTTCTTAACCGATAAGCCTTCTCACCAAACTTAGTTTCATAACATCTGTGTGAGGTTGGGTGCACTCAACTCGAGTTTGGAGGTCAGAGGACTTTTCAGAGTTGGTTCTATCCTTCCAGGTGCGTCCTGGGGATCAAAATTGGGGCATCAGTTTTGGTGACAGGGACCTTTACCCAATAAGCCATCTCACTGGCCTTTTTATTGGGACAGCTTCTTACACTGTAGTCCAGGCTGGCTTGGACAAGCTCATGGCGATCCCAATCCAATCTTGTGAGACGACTACAGGCATGAAGCTCCATACTCAACAAATTCCGACTAAACGCTACCTCTTCTCTCAAACTCAATTCTCTTATCAATTCAAAATTATTTCCATTTTTACTAACTCACCTTAAAGCACATTGCATTAAGATTTAGACTTTATTTCAAATAACTCGAGTAAATCTATTTTCTAACAAACCAAAGGGAAAACATCAATACTATTTACAGGATATTGGTTCTAGGATATTTATTACATAGTTTACAAGCTTGAGAAACATTTAATCCCAGCATTTGGAAGGCAAAGGCGGATCTCTGTGAGTTCAAGGCCAGCCTGGTCTACATAGTAAGTTCCAGGACAGCTGGGGCTACAGGGAGACCCTGTCTCAAAAGGACCAAGAAAAAAAAAAAAAGGGGGGGGGGGGGAGACTATTGGTAAGATCTGGTGTGGTAACCTTTAATCTCAGCACTGGGGAGAGGCAGGTAGATCTCTGGTTCCAGTTACAAAGTGAGACTGTCTCTGATCCCTCCCCACCCCCCAAAAAGAATGTGTTAATAGGATTAAGAAAGTACTGGGGAAAAATTAAAATTTCCTTGATGTATAGTAGGCCTTCTTTACAAAGAGCATCAGGACCTTCCATAATGAAAATCAAAGCTATGAATAGAGGGTTAATGTAATATTAAGCTATCCCAACATCACAGTTCTTACAAATGACGAGAAAAATCACAAAGTTCTTTGGGAGGAGTGGGCTTGGAAACTGTACAAACAGGGGACCTGGGGTTCCGTAGTACAGTTTCATCACTCAACAGTTCTTAAGTTTCCATAGGTTTTCCTAGAAGTCACTCATTTATGGCAAAAAGGTTTATCCTCCTTGCTCTTCAGTAAAGTTTCTAAATGGAAATGATGGACCTTTTAAAAAAAAATTTTTTTAGGTGTGTGCCAGGCTGAACCATGGCCTGAGAGTGATTCCTACATTAAAAATGGCCTTCATGGACTCCCTTAAAGCAACTTTTACTACTAAATCCAGTTCTCACATCACTTATAAATATTGGGCTAAACAGGACACTGCCATAGAATATCATCTAAGACTGGGTATTTCAATTTTTTTCTGTGTGGAAGTGTTTTGCTTGCATGTTATGCAATGCCAGTGGAAGCCAGAAGAGGGTGTTGGACACCATGGAACTGAAGTTAGCCACCATATGGACCCTAGCTCCAGTTCTCTGCAAGAGTAGCTAGTGCTCTTAAACCACGGAGCTGTATCTGCAGTATAGCTTTATTTTCTGCAAATATTTACAAGCATGGAAGATACCATATACTTATTTTCAATTATAGAGAATGATGTTTAAACAATGTAGGTGAAGGGGCTGGACAGATGGCTCAGAGGTTAAGAGCACTAGTTGCTCTTGCAGAGCACCCGGGTGTGAATCTCAGCACCCACATGTGGCCAACAACTGTAACTCCAGTTCCAGGGGATTCAACACCTTCTTCTGACTTCTGTGGGCGTTGCATGACACAGGTGCACTCACATACATGCAAGCAATACACTCATATACCTAATGTAAAAAATATTTTAAAAAAATAAAAATGTCTTGGGGCTGGAGAGATGGCTCAGAGGTTAAGATCACTGACTGCTCTTGCTGAGGACCCGGGTTTGATTCCCAGCACTCATATGCTGGCTACAAACAGTCCTTAACTCCAGTTCCAGGGGAATCCAAAGCCCTCTTCTGACCTCCGTGGCACTGCACAACATGGGTGCACTCACATATAATGCAGGCAATACACCCATACACATAAAAATATTAAAAAACAAAAATGTGAAGCTGGGAATGCAGCTCAGTTGGTAGAGTGCTTGCCTAGCACACACAAGTCTTGGGTTCAATCCCCAGCAACACAAAGTTAGGTGTGGTAGTACATACCTGTGATCCCAGCACTTGCAACATGGAAGCAGGAAGACCAAAAGTTCAAAGTTATCTTCAGCTACACAGGGAGTTTGGAGTCAGTCTAAGCTTCATGAGACCCTATTTTAAAAATGCCCCTCACCATGTAGATAAAATACAGACAACCACCACCCAAGCTATATAGTAAATTTGTAAACCCAGCAATTTTGTACTATAGATAACACAGCTTGCAGGAATGAGGCTATGCTATGCTTTAAATTTCTCTATTTAGGAAAAAAAGCAAAAAACCCCTCTCAGCCCCCACCCCTCAAAAAATGCCCCAAACACTGACTAAAATCTCAAAAAAGAGTGAAGTAGTCATGGGGCAGAGACTCACAATCTTTTGTTTCTACTCACCTGCCCCAGACTGGAGGAATGAGTAAAGGAAACACTCTCCTGCATACATGCAGTGTGTGAAAGTGGAAAATCTCAAGAGCTTAACCACATGCTTCCACATAAGTTGGATCAACAAAAATTTAACTGTAAAATATGCCAGAAGAGGTACATCTGCTATATCTCAAACATGGGTTACTTATTAGCCTGCAGAATAAATCCAGTATGTTCTTGCATTCTCTCGTTTTGAAGTAACCGACTTCTGTAATAACAATGTTTCCTTTTGTAAACTTCAGGTCCTTTTTAAACTTCTGTTATTCTTGCCTGGATATGCACAAGGGAAAGCTGGGTGGGGATGAGAGGGTCTACTCATCTGACTATGTAAACTAAAAGAAACATATGTGAGTCAGTCATTTTTAAGTATTGGTGAGGAGGAAGTGTGAGGAAGAATGGTCCAACACAAAAGGTTTGACCACCTATGGCTGCTGAAAATCTAGTTCTGTCACATGACCATGAAGAAACACAGAACTTGTAAACCTTTTCTCCCTTTGACAGCCAGTATCTAAGGATTGTGACATTGGAGCAAAGTAATTCATCCTGTATTTGGTCATGTATAATACAGTGATAATTACTCATCTCTAACAAAGGCTAGAGGACTGATCAAAAACAAGGGAAAGCCCTTAGCCAGTTACCTGGCACACAGTGACACTAAATAAAGACAACTTGCTTTCACTTTGACCTAAAGAAAAAACGAAATTTGTCTACCCTTAGTCGACAAATTCTGTGCCACTAATATTCCTTCTTTCTTACCTCAAGCTTCCAGGTACATTTCATGTCCAATAGCAATTTGATCCTTTTTAAAATATAAATACCTTCATCAAACATTACTCTGGGTGCCGTAGTACCTATTCTTACAAACTGTGCTTTTCTAACAATGAAGCATGATGCAGGGTATCAATTATATTACAGTCAACATACCTTCGTCACATCTGGTGTCCAATTACTTTAACTCTTTGTCTGATAGGAAAAGGTAACCCAAATTATTTCCCAACTATATAGAGGATAGATATTGAATCTGTTTACCTCAAACAAGAAGAAAATGGTCCTATTAATTTAGGATGTCAAATGAGATCAGAAACTTCCATAAAGGCATACTCACCTCTACAAATCTACAAATTTTGGAATACAGGAAGTAGCAAACTGTGTACAATTGAAAGTAAATAATATCCCTCTCTAAAACTCCTTTTTCTTTACTGAACACAATCTCCAACTTAAATAAGCAGCTTTAACCCCTAAACACAACTACAATGACTTGCTTATAAATAAGGCAATTTTCACAAAACTAATCAGAAATTAAAATAAATCTGATGACCCGAGGAAAACCTTTTACAATGCAGCCCCATGTTTGGGGATCAAACAGCTGAAATGTTTATTTAGCACTACAGAAATAAATCCAAAGTTGCCTGTAGGTAGTAATGTACAATAGAGAATTTGGTTGACAGTTTGTTGATAAATTATACTTACATACTTTTTCTTAGGCATATCAGCAACTGAAATATTCGTTTATTTTTGGACAGCTGCTAATTTTTTTCTGTGACAGCAAGGCTAAAAACCACCCAGAGTCCCATCAACTTTGCCTGCTTATGGAAGAAACAACCCTAGGGCAAGAGTTTCCAAAAACAGTACTACTGATGAGGGCAATATAAAACTGGCTTTGAATAGTGAGCAGAGCAAAGTGTTCCACAAAGAATTATCTCCTAAATCATCTGCTTCATATCCAGCAGCCTTACTTTCTATTCCTTCCTCCATACAAGGATGTTTACCTGCTGGTCCAGCAGATATCAGATGTCTTTACATCTCAAATTCTCTGTATTTGCTTTTCTCTTACCAAAGTTCTCAGAACAAAATCCATACTGGGAGTTTGGAGGAAGACAGGGAAAGGAAAAGTCACACCCTGCCCCATTAAGGTTTTCTGCTGTTGTAATTAACATGTTTTTGTAATGAGCAACACCCTTCTGATACAGTCAAGAGATTAAGTTAAATGAACAAGACTTTGCCAAGTGAAGGACAAGTAGGATTTATAGATACCCTTTTAAAAAAAAGTATACTTAATTGTACTGAATTCTAGAATATCTGAATTTTGCTGGGGTTTAATTTTTGTTAATTCCAAATTTTACACTTAAAAAATCATTTTATTATAAAAAAAACAAGTTCAGAAATTAGGGTTCATGAACTTCTAGGATAAGGATTAAGAGTAATCCTTCTGTTTTAGATAAAACAGATCACATCTGTTAAATGGCCCTTAATTCACTGAGACACCCTGCAATTGTTAGCAAAAATTCCAGCTGTATGCTCTTATTAATGTGTGAAGACAACTCTGTGTGCTTTATATCTCTTTTCATTCAAACTGGTTTATAAGATGCAAAGACTTTAACTATCCAATAGAAGGTACATAATTTAAAGCATTCTATAGAAATAACATGTTACCAGTAATTTACATTGCTTTTTTAAAAATCAGCCACAAAAAAGGTCAAAGCTAAAAACACAATTTTCACTATGAATCAGTGCTTCTATTACCCTTCTGAAAGAAGTTATATTTTAATGTGATGTAAAGGCAACATTGAAAGTTCGTCTTTAAATTAACCACCTAATTTATCCCTAAAATTACAAAGAATCAGTCTTGTACAGGTCAAGTGCAGTAAACTAAAATGTTCTCTCAGCACAAAGCAGCACTAGAAATGAACAGGATAGATGGGAGTTGACTAGTTTTGTAGTGGCTGCTCCATCAGTAACAGACATCAGACGGTATCCATCCCAGAGCACAGACACAACTAAACACTAGAGGCGAAGAATGCGTCACACTCTTGGCGGATAAGTGTCCTTTGTCTCTGAAGCTTTCTAGTTTAAATGAAGTGAATTTTAATGAGTTGGCTGTATAAACAGCATCATGATGAGGTATGAAAGCTCTGAAATACCCCTTACATTCAGCAGGATTTACCAGAGATATGAAAGAGCTTGTCGGGGCAACTTCCAGATAGTTTTTTACACTTTGGGGTTATAATGAATTCTATAAGAGGATAAGTTTAAAGAGGTTTAAAAGGTATCCTCTGAAACAGAAGTGAGCAACTTTTCCTTCAGAATTCATTTTCAACGGAACAGCATCAAAAACTCATCTTCTTTGATGGTATGTCCCAACATTGAGCCAAGACGGCCAACTAGCACCGGGAAGTCGTATTGAACTCATTCGCAGTTCTCTTGGCAATTACACTTTTTTGTTTCTGTTTCTTTCCCCCATTCTAATCCAAGCACAAATGTGGATCAGTGAACACAGTACTGGAAGCGCCATTTGCAGGTGCAGATTGCAGTCATCATTAAATAAGCAGGAGGTGGGCACTGTTCTTATTAGGGGAGGTAGGCTACGAATAGGAGATGAAATAAAATGATTAGGGAACACTGAGGTTATTAGAAAAAGACCGCCTCCCTTACAGCTCAGAGGTCATGTTGAGAAGACTTTAAGTTTTTAAAGATAAGAATGCTGCATTAAAGGACCATATATGCAGCAGGACTACATTAGAATCAAGCTGCACTTGACTAAGAAAAAAAAATCCCTAAGTAACATTTAAATATGTGTTATCTGCCAGTCACAGAGAGGAAAAGCACCTAGGGTGAACTCCAATTTACCTAGGCCCTTGATCAGGACCACAAAGCCTGAGCATCTCTCGTCATACAGACACACAGCCTCTAGTCACAATGGTTGAGGTTTAGGGAAAGTGAAGGTTTGTTTTCCTCTTATTCTTTTAGTTGAATTTTAGAACATGATTTTACTGAGAACTTTAAATCTCTATACCAGCATTAAAACTGAACCACTTCCAAATCCTAAAACACAGTAAGATCAAAGAAGCAAAAGTTGTACTAATATGTGCTCCTCTCCTTTCTGCTTTAAGGGAATCTGCTAACCTGTATCACATTTAAAAGTCAAAGTGTTAATTCTTCAGCATTCCTGACAACTAGAAAGCACATTCACTGAAGGCTGAAGGTGAGGGAGTGGATGGTTTGATGTTAATATCTGAAGAATGACTCCATTAGAGTAAAGAAAACCATCCAATCTCAGTTAAGGGTTAATGCAAATTTGTCTAGAAAATGCCACCAGGTAATCCAAGGGTTCACTGTGGAAGAACTCAAGAAAAGTACTCTGAAGCATACACAAGTCTAAACATCTCCCTTGTTGCAAGTAGTTGTGTGAAATTCAAGATAAAGGTTTTAGGTTTCTTTAATGTCATTTTTTTTTTCCCCACTTTAAGGAATGAGGAAGAGTCCTCTTTTTTTCCCCCACAAAAAAGGGAGCCACATTAATACGCGTATATTCCCATGACTCTAATATAAGAGTGGATCTCCAAAACTTAGGGATTTTTCCATAGAGAGTGGGCCATTCTGATTACCCTTTATTACAAGGGCATTCCGCCACAAAGAGCCAGAGGTTTTCCAGATGTGTGTAAGAGAGCAGGTGCGCAAGGCAAGCAATGAGCGCAAACAGTATTATGGAAAACATTTGAAAAATTAGCTCCATGAGGGCTGTGGGCTCCACAAGAGGACTCGACTGGACAGCCTGGTCTGACACAGGAACAAGAAGGCAGAGTATTGCTTCAAAGCTGGAAACCTTCCATAGGAGCCTCACACTGCTGGAAGATGTACTGCTGCTGGCTAAGGTCAACCTGGGGTGCAATGCTGCTGTCCTCATCTTCGGTCCCAAAGTAATGCTCAATAAGATCAAAGGCCTTTTGATAGATCTCCTGGTTTTCATGACTCTGTAAGAACTCAATTTTATCCAGACCTAAAATGAAGAATGAAGGAAACTCTTTACTGAAAATCCCAGTAATGACATTTTGCACATCTACTTCCTTGATGTAAAGATTCTCTATTTACATATCCTCTATTTCATAACAGTATAGAAGTGATTATTGGTATTACATCTGGAAACTAGGATTACAAACTGCTATCTTAAATATATATGGTAAGCAACACCTGGTTTAAGAAAGAATTTCTGCAAGTCACCTTTTCACCCAGTGCCTACTATGTTTATGTTTTGTTTGTTTTTTGAGGGAGGGTCTCCCTAGAGCCCCAGCTGGCCTGGAACCCACTATGTAGACCAAGATGGCCTCAAACTCACAGAGATCCGACTGCCTCTGCTCCCAAGTGCTGGGATTAAAGGTGTGCGCCATTATGCCCAGCCTATATTTAGGTTTTATATAGCTATTATCTGTTTCTTAATTCTTGGTCACAAAATGCTTCAGTCAAAGCATCTTACCATAAGCTTCTTCAATTAAAGCACAGTAAGGATTAATGCCAGTGCCATTCCTTTTGGCTTCTTGTTCTCCAAGCCTCAGGATGTTTTCCAAGCCATTTAGGGCAACCTGTACAATCTTTGAGTCCATGACAGTAAGGAGATCACAGAGCGGTTTGATGCAGCCCAGTTCTACTAGGTACCTAAGCCAACAAAAGAGGACAAGTTAGCCATACGAAATATTTCATTATGAGAACATCTTCTGAAACAGTCATCTTTAAACTTGTAGAAATAGATACCCATAAACCACAGAACTTTTAAAATAACATTTATTTATTTTAGTCTGTGTGTGTGTATGTGTGTGTGTGTTAGGTCAGACAATAATCTGAGTGAGTCAGTTTTCTATTTCCATCATGTGGGTGCCCAGGAATCAAACTAACTTCATTAAGCTTCACAGCAAGTGCCTTTACTTGAGCCATTATGAGTCCCAACTACAGAAATGTATCATCATAAAAAGAACAAAAATGTTAACAGTTTTAGTTATTTAACAAAATCTCCCGTCTTTTTTCCCCTCAGTTTTTGTAATGAAAGAAAAAAAAAAAGGAATTCTTCCCAATTCTGACTATAAATGACTCATCAAAATAGTTTATTTCCCTTTTTCCAGTTTTTATGTTTGTGTATGTTGCATGACTGCATGCTTGGTATATGTAAGGGTAAACACTGAGGGAGCGTGCGCGCGTGCATGCATGTATGGGTACACATTGAGGGAGCGTGTGTGTGTGTGTGTGTGTGTCTGTGTGTGTGTAGGCCCAAGGTTAATGTTGGGAATCAACTTTGTTCTTCCCCTATTCACTGAGGCATGGTCTCCAAAATAGCTTAGTTTTGGTGAGTCCAAGATTACTGTATCATATTCATAGAAGACATTTATTTAATCCATATCAACCTGGTTTCTCAAGTTGTGTACAAAGAAAACAGATAATGATCTAGATGAATTCTGGAACTTAGTGGATTTTGGAACTCAGTACTAGTGTTAATTATTTTCCTCACTAATTTTTTAACTAAAATAAATAGATGCTCTCTAACAGGGAGAAAGAAAAGACAAAATCAGTAGATCCTTATAATAATAAAATGCATCATCATTGCTGATGACATGGAGATTAACAGAATAACTCGAAATCCTTTTTTTAAAGTACTTTATTATTTTTATTTTTATTTTATATGTATGCATGTATTGCCTGCATGTAGGTAAGTGCACCCATATCGTGCAATGCCCATGGAGGACAGAAGAAGCCGTGGGATCCCCTGGAACTGGAGTTTCGGACAGTTGTTAGCTGCCATGTGGGTGCTGGGACTCGAACCTGGGTCTTCTGCAAGAACAGCCAGCGTTCTTAACCGCTGAGCCATCTCTCCAGCCCCATCCTTGTTTTTTGTTTTTTTTTTTTTTTTCGTTCTGTTTTAAAAGAAACATCATAACTAATTACTAAAGGGAACCTATGTAATAGTCTTAAAAAATGTTCATCGAAAATCATACTTGAAGAGAAACAGTGGAAATAAGGAAGGTGGTACTGGAAAGGTTCTAACCACTCCTACTCTACTACATCGGAAATTCTAGAAATATTTTTTAAAAGGAACATAAAAGGAATACAGACTGGGATGGAAGAAACTCTTTGTTTTCTGATATTATCATTATCTATGCAGAAAATAAGTACAGAAAGGGTCTATGATACAAAGTTAATATACAAAATCTGATTGCTTTTCTGTATATAGCAATCAACAATTAGAATTTGAAAATAAAACATAGCACCATTTATGGTAGCATTAGGAAACAGTTTAGCCCAATGAAATATGTACAGGATCTATATGAAAGCTACAAAATTTAAGAAATCAGAAAGTCTCTAAATAAATGGAGGGGTTTCAATGTTCACAGACAGGAAGCATTAATACTGGTAAGCCAATGTGATCCTCCCAGTAAGATCTAAACATTAAATGGAGTAAGACCAATCAAGGTTTTAGTACATTTTATGGATACCATAAGAACTGACTCTAAAAGTCTACATGGAAAGCCCAAACTCCCAAAATAGTGAATATGCAATATTGAAAAACCAAGTAGAAAGATGTTACCTATTTTCAGGACTTACTATAAAGCTACACTCATTGAGACACCTTAACACGGTGAAAATAAAAAAATAATCAATGTAACAAAACAGCCTAGAAACCCACCAACTTAGTCACTGATCTTTGGCAAAAGAGCATAGATATTTAATAGAGAGATTATCTTTTCAGTAAGTGGTGCAGAAACAGCTGATTATCTATATGCAAAAATAATAAACCTACACAGACACAGACCTTGCCCATTCCCAAACTAACTCAAGTCAGTTTGAGTGTGGTGGCACAAGTCTATATTCAGCAACATTCAGGAGGCTAAAGCAAGAGGACTGTAAGCTTTAGGTTAGTCTGGACTTTAAAATAAGACCCCATCCCCCAAAATTGAACAAGAGAAACAAAAACCCAACACCAAACTGTAAAATGAAAAACCACAAAACTCCTGAGAAGAGGGGGAAAAAAACATCTAAATGATCTTGTTCTAAAGATGAGTTTTTAGATGCATCAAAAACACAATTAACAGGAACAAATAAACAAAAAAGGTTAATATAGACTGACTTTATTAAAATAGAAAATGAAGGGGGTGCCTGGAGATGGCTCAGTGATTAAGAGCATTTTCTATCTTCAAGAGGACCAGAGTTGGGTTCCTAGCACCAAAGTCAGATGGGTCACAACTGCCTATAATCCCAGTTCTAGGGGGTCTAATACTCTTCTGGTCTCTTAGGGGCACCTGCACACAGGCAACATATACAGGCACACACACACATAAATATAAAATAAAACACATCTTTTATTAAGAAACTGAAAATGAGAGAAGTGCTAAAAAATTAAATGTACATCTGAGTCTAATTACAACACTGAGAACAGCCTGCCAAAGGGCTAGAATTAAGCATTCTTATTCAAGATTATTTTCTTTTTACCTTACTGCCCAAGCAGTTAAGCTTTCATATTAGGTTATATATTGGCGGCGGGGTGTGTGTGTGTGTGTTATAAACCCTTTTCATTTTATTTGTAGCTACTACACAGCTGGAACTCACTTGATCTGCTCAGCTGACCCTCCTGAAGTTGCATTTGTGATGGCCCAGGCAGCTTCTTTCCTTGTCCGAAACTCAGCAGTTTGCAATATACTAATAAGAGCTGGGAAAATGTTGGCATCTATCACAGTCTGAAATTAAAGAAAATGTTAAGAGGTTAAGGAATTAGAAGATTTATAGAAATTTTCCTAATAGTAATTATAAGTTGACCTTCACAAATAACATTCAGATGTTTTTTCCTGTAATCATCTTTTTAAATTTTTTATTTATTGTGTGTATATATTTGTATGTATGTGAGTGCAGGTGCGTGAGCATCACGGTTTATGCATAGAGGTAAGAGAACAATTTTCAGGAGTCAGTTCTTGGATGCTTGTGGTGGTGCACATCTTTAATCCTCGCACTTGGGAAGCAGAGGCAGGTGGATCTCTGTGAGTTCAAAACCAGCCTTGTCTGTATAGGGAATTCCAGGTCAGCCAGAGCGACATAGTGAGACGTTGTCTCAAAAACAACCAAAGTCCATTCTCTCCTTCCTCCATGGGTTCTGAGAAACGAATTTGGTCTTCAGGCTTCTGCAGCAAACATTTTTTTCACCTGCTGAACCATTCTGCCAACCCCGGTATCATCTTAAGAGGCTTATACTTAGTACGATGGAGTTTGCAGTCTTAACAAGTCTCACCAAGGCCAAGGAGAAGGCTCAGTGGGTAAAAACACTTACTGCACAAGCCTGACAACGTGACTTCAACCCCAGAATCCAAGAAAAATGCCTGATGAGGGGTGAGCTCAAAACCATGGTGGAAAAGCCAGAAACGACCCAGAAAAGTTGCCCTCTGATCTCCACAAGTGCTGTGGCATGCACCTGAACGCACCTACAACCACACAAAATAATTCCTAAAAACCCATAAAATAAACAAAAAAAAGGGCTTTAAAAAAAAAAAAAAAGTCTCCTTTTCCCGCTTGAGTTTAAAACATCTCTAGGCCATCTTGCCTCTCAGAACCACTTCCCAAAGATTGTAAGACTTCTTCACTGGTCCCAGCAAAATGCCTCAGTGAATAAAAATGCTTGCCGCCAAACCTGATGGCTTCAGTTTGATCTCTGGAACACACAAAGCAGAAAGAACAGACTCCCTCAAGTTGTCCTCTGACCTCCACACACATTGTAGCATGCTCACATGCTTCTGCATGAAACACACACACACACACACACACACACACACACACACACACACACACACACACACACACACACACACAGAGTAAATGCAAAAAATTTTTGTGAAGAATCCTTATTAATTGGATGTAGTGCTTATATTCAACACCAATATTACAGATAGATATTACAATCACTTGTCTTCCTCAAATTACTTCATGTTTGATACCAGCGCAGAAACCTAATATGGGTTAGTATAATTTCCTATAGCAAGAAAATGAGAAATTCTGCAGAAGGGCATATCACAATTTAAAGAAAACAGGTCTCCAAAAGTTCATGAAAAATAGAAGCAATCGAATACATGGGTTCATGGAAAATAGTCTACTATGAAGTAAAGTCAATCTACTCAATATAGAATCAAGCAAAATATGCTGAAAATACAAGTCTCTCTTTCTTAGATCTTTGGTAAACCACCAAATTTTTAAAGCAAAAAGAAAATGCATGTCTAGAGTAAAAGTAGACTTGACATTAGTCAAGAGAAAGAAAGCAGCAGACTATGAAATAATGACATTAGAAGTTAACGATTTTAGAAGTGATGGTTTAACTAAGGCAGGTACTACTGCATTACCTGGATCTGTGCCCTATTTCCAGCTGTGATATTAGATATTGTCCAACATGCTTCCTTTTTGATGGATTCCTTTGGGCTACTCAGCAAATGCAATAAACTCTGAAGAGCTGAGCAATTCAAAATGACCTAAAAGAAAAGGTTTTTACGTTTTATTTACTGCATTGTTTCAACTATCACTTTGGTTTTAGATTTTTGTTTACTTTTATTGGCTGAGACAGGGTCTTATGCAGCCCAGATTGGTCTCTACCTCACAGAGAGCCTCCTGTTGCTGCCTGCTTTTTTTTTTTTTTTTTGAGACAGGGTCTTGTATAGCCCAGGTTAGTCTTAAATTCAAGACATAGCTAAAGATGACCTTGAAGTCTAGGATCCTCCTGTACCCACTTCCCAGATGATAAGTAAATCTCTCAGAATTTATTTTAGGACAAATACACAAAACAAAAATCTCTTGAAGTTTCAAAAGTAACTGTACGTATGTTTTTTAAAAAAAGCATTTTTCTAGTTGTATTTATTCATGGGGGGGTTGTATGTGTATGGACATGTACACGCCACAGCATATGTGGAGGTCAGAGGATAATTTACAGGAGTCAGTTCTCTCAACCATGTGGGTCCTTGGGATCAAACTCAAGTTGCCAGGCTTGGTGGCAAGCACCCTCGCCAACTGAGCCACCTTGCCAGTCCAATAAAAGAAATATTTAGTATGAATTACTTTCTGAAATTATCAAACCAGCTTCATTGTATATATTGACAAAACACTAAAACCACTAATGAAATGAGTGTGGTGGTATACATCTATAATCTAAGCTCTTGTGAGGCATAGACAGCAAGCTCTTGAATCTGAGGCTAGCCTGATCATTAAAGTCTCAAAAAAACAAAGCACAACTCAACATCTACCATAATGTTATTATCAGCAGCCACGAAAGGATTTCTCATTCATCTTCCTGCCTCTACAGCTAAGTCTTCTGGGTAGATAAATATGTCCAGTGATCAGAAAATAAGAAGCAAGAGTCAGATTTTTAAATCATCTAACAGCTCTCCACCTTATAATCAATAAACCTGTGCACTTTACGGGATACAAAGATTACAAAGAAGCACCCAACTACCAAACAGATTACAAGGGCAAAGGAAGTAAGATAAATATAATTGGTTAGTGCTATTTAAAAAAAAAAATCACCTAACAAGATTTTTGGGTTCAAACAAGGTTTCCCAAAGAAAAATGTCAATCTGAAAGCACGAAGCCTGAGACAACATTACCAACGGAGTATAGGTATGTGGGAGGTGGTGGCTAGAGCAGGGAGGGGGCAAGGGAAGAAAGTATGTGCTAAAGTGGCCAGACCAAATTCAATTAACAAACATGGCAAAAGCAAAGAGCCCTGGTGGGAGGGGACACAGAAAACGTTATGTGGTGCCATGGTGAACTTAACACCAGGCAAGTGATTTACCACTGAGCTATATCCCCAGCCTTAAAAAGCTGGGTCCACCACCCTAAGTAAATAACATTAATATGGTTCAAAACTCCAAAATGTGAGCTGTCAAGATGCATCAGTGGGTAAAGGCACTTGCCCACAATCCATGTAAAAGTGGAAAGATAGCACCAACTCCACAAGGTTGTCTTCTGACCTCAACACAGGAGCCATGGCACACATGTGCCCCATACACAATTAAAAAAAATTCAGGATGTATAAAGACTGCAGCATTAAAGAGACTCCTTTCCTTTCCTGTATTCCAACTACCAAGCTCTCCTTAGAGATAAGTCATGTATTAAATTTCCTACGTGGGCTGGAGAGATGGTTCAGCCATCAAGAGCATTGACTGCTCTTGCAGAGGACCTGGGTTTGAGTCCCAGCACCCACACGATGGCTGTCTGTAACTCCAGTTCCAGATCTGATGCCCTCTTCTGGACCTCTGTGGGCACTGCATTGACACAGGTACACCTACTTACATGTAAGCAATACGCTCATACACATAAAATAAAAACAAAAAATAAAATATTAAAAAAATGTCCTGTGTCGTCCCATAGAAATTTTATAAAACACAATCAAATATATATTTGCTTTTTCTCTTGTGTAAAATGTCAAAACTAAGCAACGCTAAGGATAGTAGAGATCAAAGAACAAGACTCAGTGATCTATGAGGGAAGAAACAAGCTGATATCCATGTCCATGATTGTGACATGAGCAACCAGTAAAGCCAAACACCAAGACACGGAACTGAAACAGGTTAGATATGTAAACAGAAACTAGTCCCTTGTGAACACAACAATCTGGAATTGAATACATTATAAGCTTAAGACATCTGAAAAAACATCCAATTTCCTTCACTTCAGGGATGAGAAAAGCACAAATGATGAATACCTTGCTAAGAGTGGAAGCTGGTTAAACAAAGGTAAGGCTAATGCCTAGCTCTCAACTCTTACAATCCATGTACATAAAGATGACAGATGAATTTATTTTAAAAAAGATCTATGAATGAGGCTGAAGGACTGCCCCGTAGAGAATGGCCCCCTCGCCAAAAAAAAAAGACAGCAGAAAACAGAGCTCCCTGAGGTCAATGAGGTGAAGAACCCAAGGATTCCATTATCTTGGAAGCCTAGGAAGATGAAGACACCATCATCAACACATTCCAGACAGTGGGAAGAAAAATGGCAAAACAAGTCACTACAAATGATGTGTCCTGTTATAAAAGTTGAATAGACACTGCAAAGTATGAGGGGAAAATCTTCCTCAGACTTACCATATGCAAAAGGAAAAACCTATCAGAAAGATGTTACTAGAACATTGTGATGTTCCTAACACTATGAACAACAGCAGGGAGAAACAATCTGTTTTACTTAAGGAAAATTTATTTCATAAGGGAGCCTAGAATTGCTATGTCAAACAGGAAACAAAGAGATACTGGAGGTGCTGAAAAACACCGGCAAACAAAAATGAGCTATTCTTAATAACACAAAATTCAATGTAACAGAAGTAAGCTCATGGAGTTCAAGGTACTGACTTTAGAGAAGAGTTAATTTATTCATACCTGTGTCTGAATATCATCCCCTGTGACAATGTTTCCTACAGCCCGCAAAGCAGGAGAAACCACTTTATAATCATTATGCCTACAAACATAAAAAAGAAATGTTATAGCCAACATCTATCCATTGTATTTTTTCTTAAGGGTAGAAATAAAATAAGATGTGGTAAGACTTTAGAGCAGAAAGGCACTTATGATTATAGCTATTAAAGGGGACTCATCACAATGACAGAATGTTTCATGTTCCCTAGAAAAAAAACCAGCCTGGTGTGGTAGAATAATAGCACAGGAGACAGAAGTAGGTGGATCTCTGTGAGATCAAGTCCAGACTGGTTTACATAGCGAGTTGAAGGCCAGCTGGGAGACCCTATCTCAAAAAGGCATAAAAGAAAGAAAAAAAAAAGAGCCTTCCACAATGCCTGCTTTGTGTATCTGAAGATACATATTAAGTACAGAAGGTAAATAAATCAATACCGCCTTAACTTCCCCTAAAGATTCTATTCTCTCTCTCCTTCGATGAGACTGATCATTCTTCTTAAAAGTATACTTCCTTCACTTTTACTTTAAGATTTGATGACTAAAGTGAAACAACTGAAAAATATAGTCGTTATTAACTAAAGGATACAGGAGATTATTTCCAAAATTTTGAATTCTGTGGACTTCAGCAGCACCATACTGTTGTTGTCAACTCATAATAGCACCACATTACTAGCCCACAACCAGTCTGTGACAAGCTATAATCCCAGCTTTGTGTTTTGTGTATTATATTTATCAATTTCACATGCAATATTTGGGGCAAGATCCCCCAGATCTATTTTGTACATGAACTAAATTTCATGTTGCTTGAAACTATACCGTTTCTCTATAATACTGGTAACTGTATATTTTCTTCTAATACTTCTAAGTATTATCTGAAAATTTGATTAATATAGTCTCTATGCCATGAATACATCTTCCACTCTATCACTAAACGCATTACAAAAACAAGATTCAAAGTTTGAATACTGGTCTAAGTTGAGGTCCAAATGAAAAAAATAAATGACTATTTTTCATAGCAGTATCACTCTGATTTCCAGTGGCTGATGATAAAGTTATCCAGTATGGGCTGAAATAATTACACAGCCAACATTTTCCAAATAATTGTGCTGAAGGACTGATAATAGCAGAGAAATAATATTTGTCATTAAACCTCAAAGACAAGACTAAAATGACATCAATATAAACAAGACAATAAGTCAAGCCACAATAAATCATTAAAATGTGTAATTAACTAACACTAAAATACTAGCAACATGGAAAATATAGCAGAGTATCCTTGTTAGCTTCAGCTGTCAACTTGACATAGCCTAGAGTCAATCTGAGGGAGTCTCAACTGAGGGATTTTCCAGATCAGACTGGCCTGTGGCCATGTCTGTGGAGAGACTGCCTTGATTGATGACTGATTTGAGAGGGCACAGCTCACTGTAGATGGCAACATCCCTAGGCAGGTAGGTCTAGGCAGTATAAGAAAGCTAGCTGGGGGACTGGAGAGATGGCTCAATGGTTAAGAGCACTGGTTGCTCATGTAGAAGACCCAGGTTCAGGTCTCAGCACATACATGGCAGCTAACAACCATTCATAACTCTGGTTCCAGGGATCTAATACCCTCTTCTGGCCTCCACAGGCATTGTATGCACATGGTGCACTTACATACCTATAGGCAAAACTCTTATACATATAAAGATAAAGATAAGAAAACAGAAAAGCTGAGCATGAGCCAGGGAGTAAGTCCATCTAGGTTTCCTGCCCTGACTTCCCTCATTGAAGGACTGTAAAGTGTAAACCAAATAAACCCTTTCCTCCCCTAAGTTGCTTTTGGTCAGAGCGGTATAACACAGAAAAAGGAAGGAAATTAGACACAGGAGGACATCAAAAATACTTTCTTAAAGATTATCTTACATCAGAAGCTCCACAAGTCTCCTACATACTCCTGCATCGATGACTGCTTGAATTTTATCATTGGGTCCATCTGATAGATATGAGAGGGCCCAGCAGGCATCAGCCAGTACATCAGTGTCGCTGACAAACAGCAACCAGGAAAGGACATTCAGACAAGGGGAAACCTATAAAAGGAAGACAATTATAAACTCAATAGAAAAAAAAAATTTATAAGTGAGATACTCAATAAGCCTATCAGACAGATACTTGGGAGAGTTCTATGGTGATTTACACTTTAGTTACGGACTACAAGTGTTTCAGGGCATTTCTATCTTTGGGACTGTGCTCACTGGTCATTTAGCTTACTCAGCTGAGATAAGTCAGAACCCAGGGAAAATTATTTCAGTAAGTTTTATATATGCCAATCAATCCCTTGAGTTAGAATTTTTGTCACAGCACACTATAGATCAAAGAGATAAAGGAACTTTCACAATAATCAAAACTGGGAAATTTTTAGATCAGTTATCAATAAAAAATGTGAAGGTTCTAAGAGCAATATGGAGCTTTTTACTGACAGTGAGAAATGATCCTAAATTAAAACAAAAACAATCAAAAGACTTTCCTCTACAAATCAACACATTTTCTAACACTGTATTTTATCTAAACTTTCTGTTACATTAACATTGGTTACTGTATTCTTTCAAGAGCATCTTTTCCCCCTGCCAATTTCCCAAGAGCACAGTGCTTACCTTTGCAAATTCTGGAGGTGGACTCTTCCCTCTACAGAGATTAGATAACGCCCACACTGCATTCCGGGTCATGGTCAAGCGGTTTTGCTTTGAAAATAACCTACAAATATAATGGTCCCATGGTAAATAAGATATTAATTCTCTATAGGAGATAATTGGTGCTACTGATAAGGGTTGTCTTCAAGTAACTTTTCCCTACAACAATAAAGCTTCAGTAATTCTATTATTCATTCTTTCAGAACAAACTTCATTTATTCTAACAACTAATTCAGAATTTCAGTACAACAGATCACCCTAACAAGTTAACAAGATACCTGGAATGAAAATATGATTTGGAAATTCACAATGACATCCACAGATGTAATACTTCCCACATTTTTATTAGTCAAAAAAGAAAGAAACTTACTGTAAAAGAGGGGGAAGGATATTGCAGTCTAAGACATAGTCCCTGCACACAGTACTATCTCCAGCAATGTTGCCAAGAGCCCAGACTGCCTGTGAAAGAATTATTTATTAATGACAGTCCAGTATTTTCAAGCCCTCATAATTCTTTCATAAAAGATACCAATATATTACTGTAACACAATAAAAACCATGTAGTAGGTAACATATTACATAAGGACTAACTATATATATTATATAAGGACTATTAACTTTCTTAAAATCACTCTCTAGGAAGAAAAGAAAATTATATATGACTGTATATAATAAGCAAAAGGAAATGTGAATAAATTAAAGCTTAGTAAAGATAGGAATCATTCTTACTTTGTTTGGGAGTGATGGGATTTGAACTTAGGACTTAACATAAGCTAGGCAAGTACTTTATCACTGAGCAATATTCCCAGACTGGAACCAAATTTTTCTTAAAAATATTTTATTATTTTATGTGTATGAGTGTATTGCCTGCATGTATGTGAGTGCACCCGTGTCATGCAATGCAGCAGAGGTCAGAAGAGGGCTTCGGATTCCCCTGGAACTGGAGTTAAGGACAGTTCATAGCCACCATATGGGTGCTGGGAATCAAACCAATTTTAAATAAAATTAAACTTTTGATGGTGGTAAACCTAATTTCATGATAATGGTTTCACAGGTATATACACATCCTGTTATTGTGCAGTTTTAAATATGTACGGTTTATTATATTTCAATATACAATGAAACTACAAAAGAAAATAATATTCATTTAGCAGTGATTTGTCCTTAAAAATGTATTAAGGCTGTCAGTTTTGTCTTTTTCTGAAAAAGTGGTGAGGACTATAATACTAAAACTAGAGTCTCTTAAGAAAAGGCCCTTTTAGTGGAACTATGAGCTAAAAAGGTGTATGAATTCCAGAGCTGAAAGGGAAAAAAACGGATTTATGTGGCTAGAAAGAATTATGCCTAGAGTCACTAACATCTTTTTACTTTTGTTAAATTTATACTTCTAAAACACCACCCAAGACAAGCTATGAATTATCAGTTATCGTGGGCAAGTAGTCAAACTCAAGCTCTAAATAAGACTGAAGTGAACATTTTTCTTTTATCTGCTTCTGTTTATTTGTTGCATATTTTACCTGTTCCTGGACATCTTCAAACTCTGAGCTGAGCAATTCTATGAAGATGGGCACTGCTCCTGCCTGAATCACAATCTGGGTCTGAAGAGAATTTCCTGAAGCAATATTTGTCAGTACCCAAGCTGATTCAAACTATAAAGATAAAAATAAGTTTTATTATCTTATTAGAATTTAGAAGGCTGTTTACTTATAGCAATGATATTTTCTGTACGGACAGGCTGAGATTATTATCTGCACATCATCTATCCACCGAATACCATATTGATTTTAAAAGAATTTCCAGAAGAGCTGCCTCAATCTAGAGGAATATTAAAGGTGCCTAAAATTTTAAACTAAAGTATTGTTACCATGAAACTACAGAAAAAAAAAAGTGTTCCATAAGCTGACATGGAATGACCTCCAAAAACGTAAATGAGAGAAACAAAATGAAACAAGTGACTTTAAACTTGTAACATATCGTATTAGGTACAGAGTTAAAAATGTGTGTGTATACAGATATCTCTGGGCAGAGTCACAAGAAACCATCAATACTTACTGCCTACATGGAAAGGCCATGATGACTGGGAAATAACATGAAAAACTGTCCCGAACAACCCACGTTCCTTTGTTTTGTCCTATGTCTATGATCTAATAAAAATCAATTTTAAGGAACAGGCAAAGTGGAGAGTGTCAGTGTAAAATGTACAGAACACCACAATAACAAGGACAAAAAGAGGCTGTCTAAGTGTGAAGCAGATCAAAAGAAAAGCAAAGTAATTTATAAAAATGTCTGACTCAGATCATCTAACCAATGGGAAAGCTTCAAACTAAGATCCAAATATTCCTTTCTTTATGGGGTGAGGAAAAAGTTAAACTGAATAAAGACTGGTCTACAGCACTAGTAAATAGAAAATATGACAAAAGCTGTGGCCAACAAAAATAGAACATATTACCTATTTTATACATCCCTAATTGTCTCTTTAGCTTAATATTAAGAAATCCAAGAATGAAAGCTTATGTCCCTCTTTAGTTGAGACTTTACTAAATTTCAAGTTAGTTCCTTCTGTCATTCTTTTCTAGTCACCCTTTAATGAAGCAACCATTCAGTGCTAAAACTTTGAATGAGAGCTCAATTACATGACACCAAAAATATACTTGAGTTTGCTTCTAAGCTTTTAGATCGATTAAAAAGTAGCTGTCAGCTGGGCAGAGGCAGGCAGATCTCTGTGAATTCATGGTCAGCCTGATCTACATAGGGAGTTCCAGGCCAGCTGGGGCTACAGAGAGACCCAGTCTCAAAAAGATCCCCCACCCCACCCCAAAAGGTAACTGTCGCAGGGAAAATAAAGTCATCAATCACTGGAACATGGAAGAAACAGACTGATGGTTGGATTATCAAATTCCAGAGCTGTATGAACCACAGCAAATTCACAGCAGAAGATACTAAAAGGTCATATTGAAAAAAACCTATAAAGGTGACAATGTTAGGTATATAAGGCATCCTGCCACCCTATCTATGTTACAAGACTGCAGAGTTCCACATTAGGAGTACCCCAGTTAAAGAAAACCTGTACTGAGCAAGGCATGGTAGCATATATCTTTTAATCCTAGCACTTGGGAGACAGAGGCAGGAGGATCTCTGTGAGATCAGTTGAGGCCAGCCTGGTCTACACAGTGAGTTCTAGGTCAGGTGTGGCTACAGAGAAACCCTGTCTCAAACAACAACAAAAAGAGAACCTGCACTGTATTTAATAAATTTTTGTTGTAACAAAGATCCAGGGACTTAAAAAAAAAAAAAAAATTAAGCCCCAAATCATGCTCAAACTCTTCAGTCTCTCTGAAACATGCCCAGTACAGCAGTGTAGGAATATTTCAATTAGGGACTAGAGAGACGGCTCAGCAGTTAAGAGCACTGGTTGTTCTTGCAGAAGACCCAGGTTCGAATCCCAGCACCCACATGGCAGCTAACAACTAACCATAACTCCAGTCCCAGGGGATCCGACAGCCTCTTCTAACCTCCACGGGCATTGTACAACGTGGATGCACTTACCTACATGCAAGCAATACACGCATATATGTAAAATAAAAATAAGTAAAATTTTAAAAAGACAATTTCAATTATTTTTAGTGGTAGTATCTAGCGAAAGGAATTTTAAACTGTGCAAGATTATTTATGCTAAAGAGCGGAGTTGCCTAAAATGCAGTTTCTTTAGTTCACTATTAAAATTAATTATTTAAAACGCAGTCAAATGATGTAGGACAGCAGACTGCCCTAACCAAAAGGCAGGCTCAAAGTTCAAAACAGTTACCAAAGATAGTGGAGATTAAGTCAAAAGGAATAAAATCTATGAAGAAAAGCAGCCTAGAAAGAGTGACAGGATTACAGTGAGACTGTGGAGTAAAAATTATAGTAATAACCTGAATAGATATGAGGCATATAAAGAATTATAACTGGGAAAAATGAATTAGAATACTAGCTGGTGCCAAGGTTCATACTGCTGAGTTTAGTACCAAAGGTTTCAGAGAAAATGAGACAGGATTCTAGAACCTACTTAAGTGAATAAATTAGGAAAAGAGAAGAGCGATGATGAATAGGAAAATAAGTAACAGCTGAACATGGATGGTAAAAATTAGAAATATCCCTTCACAAAAAGGTAATGTGCCAGAGCCATGCTTATTTTAAGTAAATAATCATGATGCTAATCTCTGAATGCAGAGATGATTCAAGAATAGAAATTAAAAAGCAGTTTTAGTATGTAAGAACAGAAGCAGATAAATATAACCAGAGAGCCACTGAAAGCATCCATGAATCAATAAGGCATTTACACACACACGCGCGCACACACACACACACACACACACCCCAATTACATGTTTTGGCCTTATGAACATTCATTAATACTCCATTTGTGAGGTATATATATATATATATATATGCGCGTTTAGGAGAAAAAGAAGACAGAATTCCCTTCTGAAGTATAAGCTTGTTGGAAGCAGTGGCTACCAAATGTGTTTAATATGCAAATATTAGTTTTAAAAATTGGATTTAAACTACCTAGATGCCCTTTCCTCATGGTCTACGCCGTAAATTATTCCACTAAGATTTACGGTCTTGTTTTTAATATTTCAGTCCTGGGTTGCAAGATTAGATTTTTTGGGGGGGGGGTCTTTTTTGAGACAGGGTCTCCCTGTAGCCCCAGCTGGCCTGGAACTCACTATCGACCAGGCTGGCCTTGAACTCACAGAGATCCACCTGCCTCTGCCTCCCACGTGCTGGGATTAAAGGCATGTACCACCATGCTCGGCTGCTGCTAGATTAGAATTTAATCAGAAAAAGATTTCAAAATGGAAGACCCAAACTGGTGGTGAATACAAATACATACAGAAAAGACAGAAACAGTTACAACATTAACAATTTAATCATGTAACTCAGAGGAAACAACCTAAAAGGGGGGGAGGAGAACATTTAAGAAATGTTATTACCAAAGGTAACAAATAGTGGATAAAATAACTACAACCTTCACTTCCTCTGTGTTATTTCATGACTGTTTCTTAATAATCCAAGAACTGAATCAGAGGAACAACCTAGCATGTAGCTATAACTGCTTCTAAATTATTATTCCGCTATTGTTCTTCATAGAACTTGCTAAAATAAGGTTACAACTGAAATCTGTGTTCTTAAGATTAGATGTTTTCTCTCTCTCCTCTTTCTGTGTCTCTACCTTCTGGTGCTCAGTTCCTTTAATAAGGGAAATGAGAATCCAAAGCTGAAGTACTTCTGACCTCCTATCAAGTTTCCCACTCCAGGTTGAGGTACGCCTGGTTCCCTTTCTCCATTTGGATCAGGACTCTGTTGCTGGCCACTTTGCCGGTTCCACTCTGGTTCCTAGCAAATGCCAGGCTCACCTGGAGAGCAAGTGAAAAGAAAGGCTCACATCAGAAAAATAAACCCAGATTATCAAACTCTGCAGAGAACAGTGCCTGAGTTATCTGAGCAACCCTCTAGGAAAAGCAGAGAGATCAATGGAGATGGGAAAAGGAACAGGAGGATGAAGGCTTACTGCAGTTTATTACACTAAGCTTTTAGAGGGGTCAAGAAAGGCATGAAAGAGAAAAACTAAGGCAACTTAATTCAAATTTATAATTTGGGAGGAGTACCTCTTTCTAGTGTTTAGAAACAGGAAGCTATTTGCTATTTCTAGGTATTTTTTATAATCGTTTATTAAAGGTTTGGCAATGCAGTACACCATAGCACTACAGAAGACAGTATAAATATGCAGGGCCTGAACTCAAAGTGGGCCCACAAAACACATCGTAAAGTAGAACAGTCCTATGCCCAAAGGCTCAAGCATGTCGCTAAGCTGGAGAAATGCTCTTAAGCTAAGGCACTGCATGCTTCCAAAATCCTGGATTCCACCCACATTCACCTCCAGTTTGATGGCAAGTAAGTATCTGGGTACTGATGCCCCAAACAAGGAGGCGTTTTTAACTCCCTGATTTGAGGTACTTCACTGGTGTAAGAAGTCAAAATGGTAGTAAAGACACTTTTCACTAGAACTCAGTTCTTTATGGAATGAAGAAATTAATCCTCTCTGGGATTTATTACTGAACTGAGCCATCAAATCTCCTTAGTACCATGTAGTATTCTGTGACTTTCTGCAAGAAAAATGGCAAAAGCCTTATTCCAAAGACATAAATTGATCTCTAGTAAACAAGCAGGTGTATATGGGCTACCTTACATCTTAGTACTTTCTAAAACCACAAAGGAATGCCCTCCAAGCTTTCCAGAGCACATCTAATCATCTGAAAACATGGCAGAACAAAATGTCTCCTGGCTGTAAGTCTCCCTGGGTGTATATATTCTCACCACTTTGGAGATGATCAAGGTTACCCATTACTCATAATTAACAGAGGCTGCCATGCTGTGCTTAATGTACAGAAGGAAAAGCTGGAGACAACTCAATAAACAGATTGATTATTTCTCAGTCTTAGACTAGTTAAGGGGAAAATCATGAGGTGTTCACTTCTAGAGTAATCATTTTTGTCTTTCAGCCTGATTACTAGTTTGTACTAGTAAGACTGGAATCTAGAAATTTATATAGCCAATCAGATGAATTATCAGATGGCTTTCCCCTTCAAGTGTATTAAGTTCTACTACTAGAGTACTGAATCACAAAACAGTGTAGAATCTAAATACATACTTTAGCCATGAGAGGGCAATGAACACACCATACTCCTTTTAGAGCAGGAGAATGTAGGAAAGGGAGATTTCATTTTTACAACTTTTTCCATTTTAAGTCTAGAAGCTTCTACCTTCTTTCTTTAATGAATAAGGAAGTGGATCTCTAAAATCACCTAATAAAACCTGCTAGAATCCATATATACAATCAGTACCTCTACACTCATTCCCAGAGACTGGAAAGCAACAGGTTTTTCATCATGAACAAAATGATCATTTTTCCCTACCTCCCTTTTCCTACAAAGCATTTCAAATGATAAACTGCAATAAGTCTCCTCTCTTGGTCCCTCTGGTTTTCTTGGCAGGTTGCTTAGGGGCTCAGGCTCTGTTCTCTGCAGTGTTGGTTGTCTGGATTTCCTTTTTTCTGAGAAAAAAAATCTGTTCCCTTGCTCTCAGCATGCATGGTTTTTGAGGTGTCTGGTGATTCTGGCCTTAGATGGGACCAGAATTACAGTCCAGGAGGCAGCTAGCAAAACAGAATCTCAATTCAAATAAAAACAGGGATTGGTTAAATGTCAAACTGGAGAAGAAAAATTGATGGGACAGTGAAGTACTCTACCTTTTCTGGAATTCTTCCTTTTCCTCTGGAAGAAATTCATCACCGCAATAAAGATGTAAAAGAAAGAGAAAGATGGAATAGGAGGAGAGAAAATACCAAGACAAAGCATTAAAATTTACAAATCATTTATAATGGTCTGACCCTTGTCTAGGACAGGGACTGCCATTTTAAAAAATGTTCCAGTCAAGAGCAGAGAGGGTAGGAGTAACCTTAACTGACTATTGGTAACTATTTTTTTTTTTTTGAAAACTTAATCTCATCTTGTGATCTACTTGCAACCTAACCAAACTTTACAGTAGCAAGGTACCTCTAAAAAGTTGGAGCCCATCAGATTACATATATTTTGGTATTTGTTAGTAATTCAGATATTAAAGCGATCTGCTACATCAAAGAAGTATATTACTTAAACAATCACAAAAGTAGAAACCCAAATTCATTCAGAAAAATAATCATATTTTTAAAATTCTAGGTAACTCAAAGAATGTGAGTTACAAGTTGCTTGTAAACTTACTCTGAGAATCACTATATAGTAAAATTGTAAAAGATCAAACTGAAAGCAGAAATTTTTCATGACAAAGCTATCCTTGTCAGCTCTTTGGTGGTAGAAGAATTAGTAAGGACCAGGTTTGGGGATGACTGAGTTTCTGGGCAGGTTCATGTTACATATATATACCATCCTAAGAAAGCAAACAAGTATAATCTACAACCCTGTCTCTCAAAAAAAAAACAAAAAACCTTTACATAGCCGACATAGACTCCTGGTTACACTGACTTCAAATTTAAACCATGGCTAAAGACAGAAATTCTGGACAGTATAATCGGACAGCATAACATGTAACAAAACTATACAAGCAGTTTACAAGGTAGCTGCCAGGAAAACCATTATAAACAATCTTCCATTTACATTAAATAAAAACTCATAAAGTTTTCAAGAACTAAATTATGAAGCAAGAAATGAAAATGTTCGCACCTGCAGTGTACAATTCTCTTTTCGCTTGAGGAACTCCACAAACCTGGCCACTACTCCTGGTGTGCTGATTACTTCATCAATAGGAGGATTAGGTTCTGTTTCCCCATAAAATAAAATAAGACATTTCAATATAAGGACTTTATAAATCAAGATTATTCACAATACCTCTCTCTCTTCATTTACCAGCTTTCATATTAGAAATCTATCCCACAAAACACTTAATATTTAGTCTGATCACTTTGAGAGTAGCTTGGCTTGAAAGATTTCACAAAGAGACGATAAGCTTTAATATGAAAATGAAGAGGGCAGAATTCCTTATTTCTGCTATGCAGATGAAATCTCATGTGTGTATATATGCAGTGTCAGACCTTGTATGCTAATCAAGTAATTGTACCACTGAGCAACACCATCAGGCCCCAAGAAATCTTCAAACTAATGCTTTTACTATTTTAGGAAACTCAAAGACAACTACCATGAGCGTTGTGGCAAGACTTTCCTCTAGTCCTTTTTCAGTACACGAGGTTTCAATCTTGTGTGTTGTTTATACCTGCCTAGGGAAACTAGATTACAGGACTTTCAATGCACTTACAGAATTTCCCACCAGTCGTAACAAGAAAGTGCCAGCAAGAATTCACTAAACATGTATTTTGCTCGCAAATTAACCTTACTTTCATTTACGATAATATGGGTAAGCTGTCATTCAATAAATACTTATTGAGTCAACAGGAAATATCAAACAATCAGACTAATAATTTCAGCAGAGATTTGTCCTTTCCTATGTACATAGTAACACCAAAAAATACAGTTAGAAAACCTGGGGAGAATCTTAGTATTACAGTAAGAGGTATGAAAGTGAGGGGCTGGAAAAATGGTGCAGAGGTTAAGAGCACTTGCTGCTCTTTCAAGGACCCAGGTTCAGTTTACAGGACCCACCTGGTGGCTAACAGCCAGCCATCCACAACTCCAGTTCTAGAGCATCTGATGCCCTCTTCTGGTCTCTGCAGGCACTGCATGCATGAGTGTACTTACATAAATGCAGGCAGCAAAACACTGACACACATAAAATAAAAATAAATTTAAAATATACTAAAGAGATTAACATAGGAATGGTGGTATATACCTATAACACTAGCACTTGAAAGATAGAGGAAGATCAAGAGTTCAGGTTATCCTCATCTACACAGCAAATTGTAGGCCAGCCTGTGCTAGATCAGACCTATTTTTTAAAATATTTTACTTATTATTTTTATTTTATGTGTTATGAGTGTTATGACTGCATAAGTAAGTGCACCCATGTGGTACAACAGCCACAGAGGACAGAAGAGGCTGTCGGATTCCCTGGAACTGGAGTTACAGACAGTTGTTAGCTGCCATGCGGGTGGCTGGGATTCGGACCTGGGTCTTCTGCAATAACAGTGTTCTTAACCCCTGAGCCATCTCTCCAGCCCTATTTTTAAAAAAGGAAAAGAAAAGGTGGGGCTGGCTCAGTTGTTAAGAGGAATGCTGCTCTTGCAGAGAACCCAGGTTCAATTCTTAGCGCTCACATGGTTGTCTTACAACTATCTGCAACTTCAGTTCTAGGGGATCCAATGCTCTTCTAGCCTCTGTGGACATTGCACACACACACAGAGCACCTAAATACATGCAGGCAAAACACTCATATAGAGTTTTTCATCATTGTTTTCATTCATTCATTCATTCATTCATTTATCTTTTTTGAGACAGGGTCATTTATTTATTTATTATATTTATTTATTTACTTATTTATTTATCTTTTTGAGACAGGGTCTCCTTGTAGCCCCAGCTGTCCTGGAACTATGTAGACCAGGCTGGCCTTGAACTCACAAAGATCCACCTGCTTCTGCCTCCCAAGTGCTGGGATTAAAGGCGTGCACACCACGTCCGGTGCTGTTTTCCTTTATTTTTATTTTATGTGTGTATTTTGCCTATATGTAAGTGCACTTGTGTAGAGCAATGCCTGCAGAGGCCAGGAGAGCGCATCGGATCCCCCTAGAACTGGAGTTATGGAAGGTTATTAGCTGCCATGTGGGTGCTGGGATTCGAACCCTGGTCTGCAAAAACAGCCAGTGCTCTAGAGCGCTGAGCTTTCTCTCCAGCCCATACACAATTTTTTTTTTTTCTGTTGTTTTTCACAGGTGATTAATAGCACTCGGAGGCAGAGGCAGGCAAACCTCTGAGAGTTCGAGGCCAGCCTGGTCTCCATAGCAAATCTAGGTCACCTGTGACTATAGGGAGACCTGTCTCAAAAAGACCAAAAGAAAAGTTTAACTGGTTTAATGTTGATTCGTACAAAAGAAAGGATTCTAATTATGTCATTTGCCTGGCTCAACATTCTTTATCAATCATTCAAACGTAACAAACTTGATAATAATAAAGACATACTAGTTAATATTCTGATTTACAGAAATATTATATAAAAATAATATATGAAAACTGACAAGTCTTAAGAACAAAGCAAAATTCAGCATTTTTTTTTTCTATTGTTGTTTGGCATTGATAGGAATAAACCCCAGGCCTTGTGCATGATAGGTAAGCAGTCTACCAATAAGCCACATTCTACCCCACAGCATGTGACTGTTTTTATGTTTTATGATGTGGTCTCACTGTGTTGCTTAGGTGGCCTAATCTCCCAGACTTCTGCCTCAACCTCCTGATGTGGCAGGCACTTTCACACCCAGCCCAGCAACTATATGTAACTATACACTGCCCTTTAATTTTTTTACACTTACTTGTGTATGTGTGTGTATGACTGTGTGTGGATCCATGGGCCACAGCAAGCATATGGATGTCAGAGGATAATGGACATTGGCTCTGAAGTTCCTTTACATGGATTATAGAGATCAAACTCAGGTCATGAGCCTTGGAGGCAAATGCCTTTACCTGCTGAGCCATCTGGACAGCCCAGTCACTATATTTTTACAAAGGGAATTTTGAAAAATCCACATGAGTTCACTGTTCTGGTTAGATTTAACTGTCAACATAATATAAAATTATTTGAGTAGAGAATCTCAACTGAAGAAATGTCTACATCAGATTGGCCTGAGAGCATTATCTGTGGGTGGCACCATTCTCTAGGCAGGTGGTCCTGAGCTGTGTAAGAAAGCTAGCTAGCCAGGGTGGTGCCCGCCCTTAATCCCAGCACTTTGGAGACAGAGACGGGTGGAACTCTGTGAGTTCAAGGCCAGGCTAGTCTATATAGTGAGTTCCAGGACAGCTGGGGCTACAGGGAGACCCTGTCTCAAAAAGACCAAAAAAAAGTTAGCTAGCTGAAGAAAGGTTGACCAGGCTTCAGTGGATGGACTCACACTGAAGGACATTTAAGTACAAAAACTTGACTAGATTGGCTTTAACATATATGACAGAATGCATGAAATCTGGTGGCAGGAGGAGGGAAGATATGGGGGGAAGAGATAGGGGATGAGGTCTAAATATGACCAAAACATATTGTATGAAATGCACAAAAATGCAATTAAAAAAAAAAGAAAAAAAGCTAGCTGAGCATAAACCTGCTTGCTAGCCATGGTTCTTGTTGCACTTCTTTGGCCATGAAGTGAGTCCTTTGGTCAGAGGTAATTGTGTAGAATAAAAGCAGGCCTATCTTCAAGTTCCTGCATTGACTTATCTTAGTGATAGACTGTGACCTGAGATTGTAAGTCAAACGAACTCTTTCCTCCCTAAGTTGCTTATGGCTAGGATGTTTTATCACAGCAACAAAATTAAAACTAGGGTGGGCATGGTGGTACATGCCTTTAATGCCAGGAGGCAGACACAAGCAGATCTCTATGAATTTGAGGACAGTTTAGTCTATAATATAGTGAGTTCCAGGCAGCCAGGACTTTATAGTAAGACCTTGTCTCCAGAAACAAAACAAAACAAAACAAGAGGGAAACTAGAACATTCCTAAGTTCGAACTGCAGTCCATAAAGAAAAGAACTAGAGAATTTGCTTTGCTGAAAATTCAATGAAACATAACTATGTCAAGACTACTAAACTCATGTTCTTAGTCTAATACTGGAACAGATAGTCTCAGGACAAGGAAGGTAATCTCATCAGCAACTACACTAACAAGGACAGCTACATTCAAGCTACCTTCTTTTTTTTTTTTTTTTTGTCTTTTTGAATCAGGGTCTCCCTGTAGCCCCCGCTGGCCTGGAACCTGATATGTAAACCAGGCTGGCCTCCATTTCACAGAGATCCACCTGCCCCTGCCTCTGCCTCCTGAGTGCTGGAATTAAAGATGAGTGCCACCACACCTGGCTAGTTACATTTTTTAACGGGATGCTGGCAAGTAGAATACATGTAGGGAAGTAATAGTCATAAAATGCCTTAGAAAGCCACACTGTGTGGGAAAACCATTAGGCTCAGCATGCTGAAAAGGGACATGACCTCAGAATAATTACTAAGTTATCGCCCAAAAGATCATTTCTTCTGTGTGTGTGTTGTGGTAGATTTCTATTGCTATTAACTTCAAGATATATATTAATATTTTAATACTAATGATTTTAAGTAACCATAACTTACCACCGTAGAGTTCAGTATTTACTACCAATATTTTAATATGGTTCATAATTATTTTTACTTGCCCAGAGTAACAAATACCACACTCCATTCTATACTAATTATACAAAAAGAGGAGTTATCCTAGTAACCAATAAATCTGTACTTTCTGCTCTTCCAAGCAATTTATGTTTTTCTATATAGTTTCTCAATTTCAGTCAACCTAAGCTGTTATACTATTCACTATAAGGTCTGTTCTTTGTCCCCAAATGAAAGTAATGTTCCCTCTGGTCCTGTTAAGATCTCATAAATAAACAAGGAGATGAAAAACACAGCTCCAAATTACAACATATCTGCATAAAACACACTCCAAAACAAATCACCTGAATATGTAAGAAGAGATTATGGACAAGGAATAGTTTATATGAAGATGAAAAACTAAATTCAAGATTTACCTTTTGAAAGCAGTTTTCTGAATTTCTGAGTTGCAGAAAGTTGTTGCTCTGGGCTATTAGAAAATATCATTTCAATCATGTCAGAAGTAATGACACCACCCTGGATCACAAACAAAAAAGCAAACGTTAACACAATATTAAGCTTAATTCAATGCAAAGGTAACAAAATGCTGCCAAATTAATCATACATTTCCAAAAGTTACATAAAGATCTTTACATGCAAAACTATGTGAGATCATGGGCATGTGAAGTATAATCGTCTGTTACTAAGAAGCACACAACAGTGAGAAAGCAAACCACACAGTAAATACTGACACAGCAAGCTTATTACCCCTCCTCACTTAGCTCATCATGTGTCTGGCTTGTATTATCAAAATCAAACATTAAATTTTAGAAGGTTTTTAATGGGGCTGGAGAGATGGCTCAGGGGTTAAGAGACTGACTGCTCTTGCAGAGGACCCAGGTTCGATTCCCAGCACCCACATGGCTGCTATGAACTGTCCTTAACTCCAGTTCCAGGGGAATCCCGAAGCCCTCTTCTGACCTCCACGTTTTTGCATGACATGGGTGCAACTCACATACATGCAGGCAATACACTCATACACATAAAATGAAAATATTTTTTTTGAAAAAAGGTTTTTCATGACACTCAAATCTAAAGCAGTTGCTATATATTTCTACTTCAGTTATTTCTATTCTTTTTTAAAATTCATTTTTTAAATTTTATGTGTATGAATGTATTGCCTGCATGAGTGTAAGTGTACTCATGTCATGCAATCCTACCCAAGGAGATCAGAAAGAGGGCATCAGATCCCCTGGAACTAGAGTTAACAGACAGATGTTAGCTGCCATGTGGGTGCTGGGAACTGAACTTGCATTCTTTGCAAGAGCAGCCAGTGCTCTTAAACTACTGAGTCATCTCTCCAGTTCCTAATTATTTCTATTCTATTTTTGAGAAAGAGTACCATGCATTCCAGGATGGCCTTAAACTCCCTATGGGACCTCCTGCCCCCACCTAGAGTGCTGGGATTATAGGTACGGCTACCACAGCCAGTCTATGTGGGGCTAGGGACTGAACCCAGGGCTTCATGCCTGCTAGGTAGACTACCAACTGAGTTTCATTCCCAGCTCCAGCTTAATTAATCATAGGCCAAACTTCTATCACTACTAGGTGTTTATCCTGGTTATTTATTAATGTCTGAGCCACCCTAGTTTAATGTAAACTCCTTAAAAGCTAATGGCTTTGTCTTCTGTGTTTTTAACTGATACATAAAGATATAACAACTGTACATACTCATAGGATAGCATAAATATTTCAACACACAGTCTGTCACACGGTACATGCTCAACACTTAGTAATGGTAATGGTTGATAATTTTCCTATGTAAATCATATGCTAGACTAGCCACTGCCAGATTCAAAGTTGAGTCCCACACTTAATCAAAACCCCTATTTTATTTTTGTCTTAATTTTTTTGTTTCCTACTGTGTTCTTCCAATTTTATTAGGATTGTTTCCATTTCCTACTATAATCTATGCCAAGTATCAACAGTGAGCTCTCCATTCAAGAGCATCACAAAAAAACAAAGTTCTTATTTTAAGGAAGGTTACAGTCAGATGAGTCCTGAAGAAATTTGCACTGGATTTTACAAATACTGTAGAGTTTACTGTTGGTAAACAACATCTAATACTTGAAAAATTCACATTAGGGAGATGTGTGGTAGCACATGCCTGTAACCCAAGCAGGGCGATGCTGAGGCAGGGGGATAGAGAATTTAACGCCAGCTATTACACAGTGAGACAGGAATACATAAAGCATTCTGCATAAGATCAGAAATGCAAGAATGGTATCTAAGTGACTGCTATGAATATCTTCATATGCACAGAACCAGCCACACACCTATGTGTGTGTTTGTTAGTATTATACATATTGAGATATATAATAAAAAGCTATCTTTTTCTTCCCTCTTATATTCTCTGACAGATTTACATCATGGTATTTAAGTTACAGGACATCAAGAAGAGTTAACATTGCCCAAAGAGTTTTGCATTCTCTTCTGAGGAAAGAGTTGGTTATACAGAAAAGCTATACCATTTAAGGGAAGAAAAACAACTTTCTTGCTGTCTTCGAAAGTCAATACGGTATAAGATGTGTGTGGATGTCTAATAGATAAGTTGACTTGCATGACTAATTTTATGTGTCAACTAGGTTATCTGGTAAAATACTGTTCTAAATGTTGCTATGAAAATATTTCAGATGTGATTGAACATTTAAATTGCTCCTTATAGAGTGGGTTGACCTCAAATAGTTGAAGGCCTTAGGAAAGAGTGCAATTTCCTGGAGTGAAGGGAATTCAGCCTTCAGATTGCACATCTAGTCTTACCTAAAATTTCCAGTCTGCCAACTTGCTCTACAGAATTTATGGTTGCCAGCTCCCAATGACCTAAGCCACATCCTCAAAATCCTCCCCTCCCTCTTCACTGATTTCTCTGAGGAACTCTGGTTCAGTGGTTAAGAGTACATACTGGTCTTGCAGAGACTCATTTTCAATTCCCAGCACCCATGTAGGACAGCTCACAACTGCCTGTAACTCCAACTCCAGGGTATCCCACGCCCTCTTCTGGCCTCCTCAGGTACCTGCACACATACATACATACCTACACAGACATATACTCATACAAATAATTTAAAAAGAACCACTTCTTCCCTCAATTCCTTTAAGGATTAATCTATAATATTCTCCACAAAACCTCACTAATAGTTCCTTAATATATTCTCAAATTACTCAGTTTGAAAGCACCATTGTGGAGATAAGGATGCAGCACATTGGCAGAGTGCTTGTCTAGCATGCCCAAGGTTCCAGGTCAATTCCCAGCACACATGCACACACACAGTTTCTCTGTTTTCTAATGAAACCTTGGGTAATACAATTATAATTACTACCCAGAGTTAAGCACTGATAAGCATTCTGAAATATTCTCCTAACTATAGCTATTTTTATGATCCTATGTAGAGATAACAGGTTTAGCATTTACCTATCTCTGTGTACATCTTTATTTCTTATTCTCTCCACTTATAGTTTAAGAATGATCTCCTGGGCTAGAGATGACTCAGAGGTTAAGAGCAATGGCTCCTTTTGCAGAGGATCCAGGTTTGGTTCTCAGCACCCATATGGTGGCTAATAATCATCCACACCTCCAGTTCCAGGGGATCTAGCACGTCTTTCTGGCCTCAACAGGCATTGCATGCATGGGTGTACTTACATGTGTGCAGGCAAAGCACTCATACACATAACAAAACAAAACCAAAAAATTTTAATGATCTATTATTAAAAGACTACATACTCCAAATTGTAATTTGTATAGACTACTTTGTATTTCCCAGTATGGATACAGCTTTAATTTACTTTAGGATGTAAGGGCAACTCTGGAATCCATTTTCTTTTTATCTCTCAAACTTAGTTACTTCCTAGTTCTTATTTGTATTTATCTGCAGGTTCAATATTTCAAAACAGAAGACTTAACTGGGCTAGTGTGCCACCACCCACCCTTGGGTACCAATCACAAGCTAAGCTACCTCATGGATAGTTAAGCTCTTTTCTGTTCAGGGTTCATTCAGTGATGGTAAGTGACTTCTCAAGTCCTATTCTAGTAAATTACAAGAACTTGAACCTGTAACTACTGTGCTTTAAATTCAGGCCTTATCTACTTCAGGATATAAAACTCAAATTCCATCCTTACCATGGAAACCACAGGTCTAAATTAAAGAATGCAAAGTTAAAAAGAAAAAAGGAGGGGGAGGCCTGGAGAGATGGCTCAGTGGTTAAGAGCAAGGGATGCTCTTGCAGAGGATCTGGGTTCAGTTCCCAACACTCACATGGTGGCTAACAACCATCTGTAACCCCAGTTCCAGGGGATCCAATGCCCTCTATGGATACTGCATGATATGGGTGCACTTATATATAGGTAGGGAAAATAGTCATGTATATAAAATAAAAATAAATCCAAAATTTTTTAAAAATATATTTTATTATTTTTACTTAATGTGTATGAGTGTTTTACGTGCATGTATGTATGTACACCTGTGTCATGCAATGCCTATGAAGGTCAGGTGTTGGATTCCCCTGGAACTGGAGTTACAAATGGTTGCTAGCCACCATGTGGGTGCTGGGAATCGAACCCGGGTCCTCTGCAAGAGCAGTTAGTACTCTTAACACTGGGCCATCTCTCACCAGCCTCCAAAATTTTTTTTTTAAAAAGAAAAAAAGCTAAAGAGATACCTCAGTGGTTACGGGCACTGGCTGCTCTTGCAAAGGACCAGGTCTCATTCCACATCCACATGGCAGCTAACAATCATCTCTAACTCCAGTTCCAGGAGATCCAACACCCTTTTCTGACCTCTGCAGGCACTGCACAACATGGGAGCATGTCTATACATGCAGGCAAAACACTCATACACATAAAATAAAAATATTAAAATATTTTTTAAATAAAATTATTAAACTAAAAAAAAAAAGAAAAAAGGTATGGTTCCAGCAAGATGTGCTATAAGCTTTAAGATGTTAAAGAAACATAAATGCCTATTATCACAACTTTGGAGATGAGGGCACATGCCATGGCATGCACATGGGGGCCAGAAGACAACATGAGAGAGTCAGTTTTCTCTCTCCACCAAATAGGTCACAGGGATCAAACTCAGATCTTCAGCCTGATGGCAGGCTTCTTTACCCACTGAGCCATCTCACTGGCCCATTTTTTAGACTGACACATTGTACATATTTCAACACACATGCATTCCTCTTTTTAAAAAAAAAAAAACAACCAAAACAAAACAGGGTCTCACTATGTAACCCTGGCTGGCCTTGAACTCACTATATAGACCAGTCTGGCCTTGAACTCACAGAGATCTGTCTTAGCCTCTCTGGTGCTAGGTTTAATGGCATATGCCACCATACCTGGCCCAACATATGTATTCTTTACAAGAGTTTTGTTTGTTTGCTTTTTGTTCTGTTTTGCTTTTCAGACAGGGTCTATGATGCCCAGGAAGACCTCAAACGTGTTACCCTCCTACCTCTGACTCCCTAGTACTGGGATTATAGACAGATATGGCCATGCCCAATTAACTTAGTCTTTCTATTAAACTCAAAGACCTACATTTCTAACCTTCATCTCAAAAACAACAGAGTTCATTATCATACTTACCTGTGCCATCTCCATGTTATTAATCTGGGCCTCATGAAAGCCACCATCAGACATAACTTCTTCTTCTGTTTCTTCTTCTGCAGTAGCCACATTTCTACGCTTGAATAACTGAAAAGTATATTTAAAAAAAAAAACTGTTATAAATGTAATTCTGAAACTCATTTCATGAATTCTAAAGCTTGCACTACACCTCTAAGTGTTTCCTGATGAGGAATGATTGACTCCTCTCTTTACAGTGGTGTAAGTGAATACAATTAACTACCTCCCTATATACAGCCAATGCTTGAGCATAAAACTTAACTGAGAGGCCTGACACTGAATGATAATTTAAAAAAAAAAAAAAAAGATTGCAAACAAGACCTTGGACATGCCTGACCAATTCTCTCATCTGTTAGTCTGAAACAGGCAATTACAATTCATCAGAAAAAAAAAAAATGGTAAAAATGGTATTATAATGATTTAATACTTCCATCTTAAGAATTCAGAGACTAAGTACATTGAGGTTTCTAGCCTTACCAATCTCTAGGAATCAACAACAACAAAGGATGACTATCTGAAGAGTATTTTTAAAGCACTCATTACTTTGCTGAAACAAAGGACAATAGTTCTCTGCAAAGCCACCCAGTATGGTGCCATCTACTATATGCCCTTGAGTCCTGGGCATCACAGTTAAGTCATCAAGCCATGTTAAGAGAAATGGTAACCTATCCTCTTATCCTAAACGACAGAGCAGACAGATTACATTAAATAATGTGTTCCAACACAAGGGTGCGATTTTTCAAAGAAACACACAAGATCAACACAAGGGTGCGGTTTCCAGGCTGCACAGGGAGAGAACATCCAACCAAAGCTTAGACTTTCCCTGAATGGAAACAAAGAGACCTACAAGCGAGGAGGCAAGACTCAGAATATATAGAGCAGAGTACTAAAGAGGACAGATCAACAGTTCAGACAATACCAAAGTTCTACAGAAGGTATTCTTTGACTCAGTATAGATGAATGACTGTCAGATTCTTCCTGAAGAGAGAAGCAGAGTGGATGTAGCTAGGTACTGGAGTGCTTGACCAGCATGTATAAGGCCAAATGGGGCAAGGGGGAAATGGGGACATGGACTGGGGGACAGGACATGACTCATACCACATTCTATGTGGATAGCATTACTTATGGGTATAGCACTACTCTAATATCAAAGCCACTTACTTATATCAACTCCTTTTACATAGTCTATTATGGCCATCTATTAAAATAATTACAAGGCATATTAAAAGAATAAAAGGCCAGGCATGGTGGTGCATGCCTTTATTTCCAGCATTCAGGAGGCAGAGGCAGGTGAATTCAAGGCCAGCCTGGTCTACAGTGAGTTCCAGGCCAGCTGGGGCCACAAGGAAACCTTGTCTCAAAAAGACCAAAGGAAAACAAACAAAAAACAAAAACAATAAATAAATAAAAGAATAATAGTTTTAAAACACTGTTAGAATCAAAGTGGGATATGACAGAGATGGTGGAATTATTAGACTGAAAACTTGTGTGTGTTTGTGTGGGCACATGTACATATGTATGTACATGCATGTGTTTGGGGGGGGGAGTGCACATTCAAGTGTATACACATGTGTAGAGGCCAGAACTCAATCTTGAGTGTCATTCCTGAGGTGTCCTCTACCTTAGTTTTTAAAGATAAAATCTCTCACTTGACAATCAGGGTTGGCTGGCTGGTCATTGAACCCCAGATACCCACCTATCTCCAACTCCCCAGTGAGGGGGTTGCAAATATGTGTTACAACACATGGATTTTTCACATGAGTCCTGGGATTGAACTGAAGTCCCCACACTTGAAAGACAAGCACTTGATCAACTGCTGCCCTCTTACTCATTAGAGTCCTTAGCATATTATTGTTCCTTGAAACTTTCAGTCCAGAGGTTGAAGAGATAGCTTAGTCTACCAACACCAGGTACCTCCATTAAAAAAAAAAAAATTTTTTTTAAAGGGAGTTTGAAAACACACACACAATAAATAAAATATTCCAAAAGTTAAAAAGAAATAAAAGATCTCCTGAGAAATCTAAGGTTCAAGGTGGGGCTAGAGATTGCTCAGTGTTTAAGAGCACTGGCTGCTCTTGTACAGGACCAGGATTCAGTTTCCAGGACCCACATGGCAGCTAACAACCATCTGTAACACCAGGGAATCTAATAACCTATTTGGACCTCTGTGGGCTTTGTATGCACATACTACCCTAACATCCTTGCAGGCAAAACACTCATACACATTAAGTGAAGACAAAGAGCTGGGTGTGGCGGCACTTGCCTTTAATCCCAGCATCCCAGAAGCAGAAGCAGGTGGATCTCCAAGAGATTAGGGGGAGCAGTGCCTGGCACTTACATAGGGCTGGGACTAGTATTTCTGCCCACTAGCCAGATTTTTTAAAAATCTTGTACTTCATGGAGGATGTATGTAGAATACTCAGCTTCGATACTGGAGATTAATTAGCACTGCTTCAGACCTACTTAGAAAAAAAAAAAATCAAAGTCTAATATTGGCATTTGGGGCAGGGCTTTGCTACGTGTTGAAGGCCTGCTTGAGCTAGACGGTGTGTACCAGGCTAGCTAGGGCCTCACAGCAAGAGCCTATCTCAAAAAAGCAACCAACCAACAACACAAAAACAAAACAACAGAAAACAAAACAAAAACAGGATCCAGAAAGATCAAACTATTTCAGTATTACTTAGCTATATATTAGAACAACACTCAAGAATATCAATAGGAGCACAAAAATGTTTGGTATTATCAAAGTAAAATATTCAAGAGAAAATATGCAGTCGAAAACAATCCATCATGAGGAAAATGTTCATTTGACATTGACACAGATGTTAAATTTATCAGAATAGAATGACATTAAAATGGTTATTATAGCCATGTTCCCACATGGTTAACAAGGTAAATTAATGACATTAAAGGGATGAATTGGACTTTCGTAGTTGAAAACTGAAGTTCAAGATGAAAAATTAATGGGTAGATCAGTGGTAAGTTAGAACTTGTTGAAAAAAATTAATGAACTTTAAAAGTACAGGAATATAAACTCTCAAACTGAAAAGGAGAGTTAATAAAACACATGTCATCACAACATAAATGACTTCTGTGGTCTCATTTCTGCCGTCTGGCAAGCAAAGAATCAGTTTTGATGCTCAGATACTAGCTGGGTATCTTGTAATCCTATTTTAATTCTGACAACCTGACCTGAGCTTGATTCCCAAGACCCATATGGTGGAAGGAAAGAACTGACTCTGGTTTATTCTTAATTATATGTATATATGTATGTCAGTATGTAGGTGTATGCATATGAGTTCTGGTGCCTGCAGAAGTCACAGGTGTTGGATCCTCCAGGAGCTGGAGTCTCAGGTGATCGTGAGCCACGTCATATGATTATATGGTTCCTGGGAACTTGGGTCCCTTGGAAGAACTATACATGCTCTTAACTGCTGAGCCACCTCTCCAATCCTTTTCCATTTTTTAAACTTATTTTTATTTTATGTGTATGAGTGTTTGGCTGCATGTGTATAAGTGTACTTTGTCATGTACCTGCAGAGGTCAGAAGAGGGTGTCAGATCCCCCAGAACTGGGGTTACAGACAGTTGTTAGCTGCCATGTGGGTGCCAGGAACCAAACCCAGGTCCTCTGCAAGAGCAGCCGGTGCTCTTAACTGCTGGGCCATTTCTCCAGCCCCATAAAAATGCTTTTTAAAGAGAAGGAAGCATCAATTTCAGGAGATAATGTCTCATTATGTAGCCCAGGCTCATTTCACATTCAGTCCTTCTGCTTTGACCTCCCTAATGCCAGGATTACAGGTATGAGCTACCACTATTTAAGTTTTTAGTTATAGATCTGTTCACAGTATCTAAAAAAATATTGTGTGTACAATGTGTCGGGGGGGGGGGTCTATGACATGCTGACATGTGGATGGAAAAAGAGAATTCTGTAGAGTTCATTCTATCCTTTTAACCTTACGTGGGTCCCTGAGACGGAATTCAGGTCCTCAAGATTGCCCAGCAAGCGCATGTATCTGCTGAGCCACCTGTGCATGTCCCTCATGTATGTATTCGATGCTCTAAATTTTCCTCTAGGCATTACTTTTGCTTCATCGCACACATTTTGATAACTTGTGTTTTTTCATTTAGTTCAAAACAATTTTTTTCTTGGGAGTTATTCTTTGACTGATGAATTTTTAGTTCTATTATATTTTAATAGATTTATGACTTAGGGTTCTTTTTATGACCCAGTTTCATAATGTTTTAGTCTATCTTGGTGAATGTTCCATGTGAGCTTAAGAAGAATGTATATTTTGCTTTTTGCATGACGTACTGATAGCCAACTGATATTATACAGCCAACTGATATTTTATATTATATATTTTGATACATAAAAAATATTTGATATTTTATATTATAGCCAACTGATATTTTATGGGGTTTAGTTATATCCTTATTGTCTTTAAGTTTCTGACAAAGGGATGCTTAGTTTGCCAACTAAATGAATTCACTTACTGTAATTCTATTAGACTTTGCCTATGGCTCTCCATACTTTATCACAGTAAGCTAAATTTTCTTGAGAGTTACATACCTCTTGCCATGTAATCTTCTTGTCTACCCTTCCTGTTTTGTTTCTCTGAAGTCTGTTTTGTCTCTATTTATTACATTCCCCCCCAATTTTCTTATGATTAGGGTTAACATGATCTTTTTTGTTTTCTTTATAAGCTGTGTGATTCTTTATATTTAAAATGGGCTTTTAGGGGTTGGAAAGATAGCTCAGCAGTTAAAGAGTACTGACTGCTTTTGCAGAGGACCCAGGTTCAATTTCCAGCACCCACATGGTGGCTAACAACTGTCTGTAACTTCAGTTCCAGGGGAATCCAATGCCCTCTTCTGGCCTCCACGGGTATTGCATGACAAGGGTGCATCTACCTACATGTCGGCAATACACTCATACACATAAAAAAAAAATAAATAAATAACAGGCTGGAGAGATGGCTCAGCAGTTGAAGTACTGACTGCTCTTGCAAAGGACCCAGGTTCAACTCCCAGTACCCACATGGTGGCTATGAACTGTCCTTAACTCCC